TGCTAAAGCTTCGGTTTAGCTGATCTTCTGACTCCTTTGAGCTTTGTAGTGTAGAACATTATAATTTCCAGGCATGCATCTCCACAAAGCAGCTTCCAGCTTATTATTGAGACAGGAAGTTATTTAGGACACTTTGATTTCACACTTATAGAAGCTTTCTGTAACCCATCACCTTCACTCACTCTGCCAAACCCCGTCTGGCCTCCTTTATCAGCTAGGATGGGCAGGGATCCAGGATATATCTGGTCACCCTCACCTCTCCAAGGATCTTGTCCACATCCTCAGGTTGCACTAGTTGAAATGATTCCATTAAGACCAGACAAGCAGATGCTCACATTACATCTCCAGAGACTGCCATTAAAGTGGTGTCGAGGTTGGTACAGATCGGAGCAACTTTATCCGCAAAGAACTGAGCAAATGCTTCACAGCGAGCTGATGAATGGTCAGGGATCCCATCTTGTGGGGCAGGATTTAACAACCCTCTGACCACTTGGAACAGCTCAGCTGGACAGTTCCTTGTGGATGCAATGTTGACCTCAATGGAAGATTTCTTTGCGGCCTCCACTGCCGTGGAATACATCCTTATATAGGAACATACCCATGTTCAGTCTGATTTGCTACAAGTTGAACACCACACAAGCTCTAGTCTCTATCTTACACGCTTCATTGCTGCCAGCTCCTCATTAAACCAAGGACCTGATTTAACTCTGCTATGTGAGTGGGGACATTTCAGAGCAGTCATGTCTATTGCTCTAGTCATCTCCCCATTGAAGAGAGTGACCAGAGCATCGACAGGATCACGTAGCAATGGGGCAGGAAATTCCCCAAGAGCTGACAGGAATCCATCTTAGATGTTTCCATAGTCATTGTTTCTGCCATGTTTTGAACCAAATGGAAATTCTGAACCTTGTACAGAGATAGCCCAATGTACAATATATTGCAGAAATCCAACCTTGGGATGACCATCTTTATACTCATAGAATATGGAGCTGGCATATCAGCCAATGTTGATAATAAGCACTCTTGATAATTACATATCTCTTAGCTGACACTGGGAAAGATGGCTCCAGTAGCACTCCCAAGCTGAGAACACAGTTGTTAATGGGGAATGTAACCCCATCCAGGGCTGTTGATACACCTCCAGCCCTTAATGGCAAGTGCCTCAGTCTTACCTGCATTCAGTTTTAATTTCTTCATCCATCTCTTAACCTTCTCCAGGTATTTATTTATAATGCTATCCTTATATAACATTGTTTTTTTAAGATATGGAGAAATATATTGGGGTGTCATCAGCATACTGATAGGACCCCGCCCCATACCTCGAGATGATCTCTCCCAGCGGTTTCTTATAAATATTAAAAAGTATTAGAGACCTTATGGAATGCCACATATCAGCTCCTTTTGGAAGAACAGCTGTCTCCAAGCAAGCACCATTAGCTGTAACTTGCCTGAGAGGTATGACTGGAACCACTGCGATATAATTCCTCTAATTCTCAACCTCTCACATGTTCCAGAAGGCAGTAGTATCACAATATGGATCTGAAATCTACTTGACAGGTTGTTACCCTGGGGCCTTGATTATACAGTTGGCCCTGCACATTCACAGGTTTCACACTCACTGTTTTGATTATTCATGAACTTGAAATGCTGCCACCTCCTTAAGTTGGGGCTGCCATGTAAACAGTCACTTGACAGTGCCAATTTTAGGCTGTGAGTGAGGGGTCTATTTGGGAAACATGCAGTGCCCACTCCTCTTTTTCCTGCATGCTGGAAAGGAAGGGAGATACTGGACAAAAGAGAGATGCACAGCATGCAGGAAGAGAAGGAGGTGGTCTTGCATGAAACCTTGTTTACTTCATAAATCTAGGTCCTCTTCCTTTTCCTGTGTTCCATGAAACACTGTTCCAGATGGACAAAGAAAGAGAAGTACTGGGTGAACAGAAACATACAGCATATTGGAAAAAGAAGAGGAACTGAATCTTTGGGGTATGTAATAGCGTAGGTGGGACTGGCTTCTCCTCTTCATCTTGTTTGATATGAGTCTCTGTTTGTTGTTATTTATTTTGTGTCAAAAGGATTGCATAAAAGATAAGTCTAAAACTGATAGAATAAAGGGATAACAAGCAGCTAGATAGTTTTAGACCAAAAACGGGCAACAGCAACTGCATTATTTGTAGCTTTAAACAGTTCTTCCTCTGTGCATGAGGCAGGGCATTGTGGGCAATCATACAGATGCTGAGTTGTTTGTTTTGCACCACAGTCGCACAAGGTGGAGGATTCTTCTAGGTAGTGCCATTTAGCCAGGTTGTCTTTTGATCTGCCAACTCCGCTTCTGAGTCTGTTCATGGACTTCCAAGTTGCCCATTCTTGGTTTACCCCTGGAGGAAGATCCTCATGGGTGGCCACCCAGTTGTAATTGCCTGATTTTGCTTCCCACAGGGATATTCTTGCTGTTGCTGAAGCAACATTTAGAGAAGTGGTGGTTCTCATGAAACTTTCCCTTGATTTAAGCCTACTTGGAGGAGGCCGATAGCCATATAGTGTATTGTCGAAGGCTTTCATGGCTGGAATCACTAGGTTCTTGTGGGTTTTTTCGGGCTATAGAGCCATGTTCTAGAGGCATTTCTCCTGACGTTTCGCCTGCATCTATGGCAAGCATCCTCAGAGGTAGTGAGGTCTGTTGGAATTAGGACAATGGGTTTATATATCTGTGGAATGGCTGGGGTGGGGCAAGGAGCTCTTCCCTGCTGCAGTTAGGTGTGAATGTTTCAGCTGATCACCTTCATTAGCATTAGCATTTGAAGGCCTGCCTGAGCCTGGGAAAATCTCTTGCTGGGAGGTGTTAATCTGTGCCTGGTTGTTTCCTCTCTGTTGTTTTGCTGTTGTAATTTTAGAGTTTTTTAATACTGGTAGCCAGATTTTGTTCATTTTCATGGTCTCTTCCTTTCTGTTGAAATTGTCCACATGCTTGTTACACATGTTAAACATAAGGCTCGTGGGCGGAATCCAGGCTACCACATCATTTTATGTGTTCCACAAGGATTTTAATGCCAGGGCAACGTAGTTACATTTAAACAACTGGTCCTTTGAAGGCAACCGTAAGGCTGATTTTTTATTTATTGTATCAGAAACGAACCAAGGGTACAGTTGTAATGTATATAAAAAGACAAACAAAGTTTAAAAACTTGGCATTATACTAAATGTCCTTTGACCAGAAGTTGGTCACTTGGAGTGCCTCTGGTGTTGCTATAAGAAGGTCCTCCATTGCGCATGTGGCAGGGCTCAGACTGCATTGTAATAGGTGGTTTGTGGTTTGCTCTTCTCTACACTCACATGTTGTGGACTCCACTTTGTGACCCCATTTCGTAAGGTTGGTTCTGCATCTCGTGGTGCCAAAGTGCAGTCTGTTCAGTGCCTTCCAATCTTCTGTGTGCCCTAGAGGGAGTCTCTCATTTGGTATCAGCCATGGATTGAGGTTCCGGATTTTAGCCTGCCACTTTTGAACTCTCGCTTTCTGAGGTGTTCCTGTGAGTATCTCTGTAGATCTTAGAAAACTATTTCTTGATTTAAGGCGTTGGCGTGCTGGCTAATATGCAAACAGGGGGTGGTCTGGAGATGTCACATCAGAAGGCTGATGTGGCCTTTGGTTAAAATGAGTTTGTCCCTCTGCCTTATGCCTGGTTGGAAAAGAGACTTGTATCATTCAGGAAGAGGAAAAGGAACTGGGATCTGCAGGAGAAATGAAGCGTGTGGGCTGGTCCTGACTCCTATCTCCCAGGCCATTTTTACTGAGACATCTCTCCCTCCCCCACCCCTCCTGAGATATTTGGGGTTTTTCTGCTTTGTCCTCCAGATGTGGGGGCCTTCAGCTCCAGAATCCCATCCAAGAGACATTACGGAAAGCATTTGGTCACATGGTCAAGGGAGGAAGCACTTCTGAATAATACCAGAGAAGAGCACAATTCAAAGTGCTGATTCTAACCTATAAAACCCTACACAGTTCTGGCCCAGTTTACCTCTCTGAACATATCTTCCCCTATAAATCATCAAGGACTTTAAGATCTTCCGGAGAGGTCCTGCTCTCGGTCCCACCACCCTCGCAGTCACACTTGGTGGGGACGAGAGACAGGGCTTTCTCTGTGGTGGCCCCCGGCTATGGAACACTCTCTCCCCAATCAGGTTAGGTCTGCCCCCTCCCTCCTGACCTTCAGGAAGGAACTGAAATCCTGGCTTTGGAATCAGGCATTCCCAGATTGATGGATTGAACTGGTAAAGACTAAGAGTTATTGGATCAGAATGTTTGGATTGAGTTGGATGATGTTTTTAACTCAGCAAACTGTCTTTTATATGAATTTTATAAGTTATTTATTATGTACGTTGTTTTTAAAAGGTTATTTATTGTGTAGCATTGAATTTTTGCTGTTGTTAGCTGTTCTGGGTCCCTCCAGGGAGGCAGAGAAGAACGGGATATAAATAAGAGCAAATTCTAAATGTTCGATATATTGTCGAAGGCTTTCACGGCCGGAATCACTGGGTTGTTGTAGGTTTTTTCGGGCTATATGGCCATGTTCTAGAGGCATTCTCTCCTGACATTTCGCCTGCATCTATGGCATCTAAGGTACGTCTGAGGATGCTTGCCATAGATGCAGGCGAAACATCAGGAGAGAATGCCTCTAGAACATGGCCATATAGCCCGAAAAAACCTACAACAACCAGGACTCTAAATGTTCGTCTTGCGGGAATTTGGGACTTCAGCTGGCAGAATTGGCCAAGTTGGCTGGGGCTTCTGGGAGTTGTAGTACAGAGTATCCAGAAGACCAAAGTTTGGGAGAGAGAGAATAAAGCAGAGAGAAAGGGGGCTCATTTGCTTAGCATCTGTCTGTCCTGGTCTCCTTTCCAAGCAGGGCGGGGTGGGGGAGCTTTTGTCTCCAGCCTTCCTCCCTGGGGCAAGAGGCGGGGACCTGTCAGTGTGCTGCTGCCTTGGGTACCACCTCTTGGGAGAGAGAGCTCTTCTTCCTCCCACGGCTCTTCCTTCCCATCCTTCGGAGAAGTGCTTTCCTTTCCCGTCTCCTCCAGGTCCAGCCTCGCAACATGGAAGGTCACCGGGACTATGCCAAGGAGCAGCTGGAGCGTTGGCAAGAGCAGTGCAGCCAGCAGGTACCCAGAAATCCCCCTCACCCCCTCCCAGGAATCCATTGGAGGGCTCTGCCCGGATCGCCCTCCTGGCTTTCCTTGGGACGGACTGGCAATGCTTTGGAAGGAAACCCTTCGGGTGGGCGAGACCATCGCTCCTCTGAAGAGGGGGTGAGGGGAGGGGAGGGGGTCCGGACCTCCTCTTTCCCTACTGAGGGGCCGTCACAGCAGTTTTCCTGGGATCTCTGGGCTCCTGAAGGGTGGAAGAGAGGGCAGGAGTGTGAGCCAGAACGTCCCAAAAGTAGCCTCTTGGGTTGGCCTGGCCAGAGGGCAGGTCTTTGGAGCTTGAACTCCAGGTCTGGGGCGGAGGCGTGCATCTTCCTATCCCAGATAATGTTTACCACCTCAGGGAGAGAGTTTCTCCAATTCACAGCAACTCTTTAACTTCCATGGGAATAAGGACTAATGCCTAGGACGGTTGACCATTATTAAAACATACACTCCTGCTCAGGCATGTAGCCAAGGGGGGGGGGGGGCTTGGGGGCTTCAGCCCCCCCCCCCGATATTCTCCTGGTGGTCTGCGAGAAGGCCTTACTGGTACATTATTTAAAGTCTTATGTTTATTCATATCATGATCTGAGCACCATGCTCAATATATCTCATATGCATGGGGGTATTGGGGTAACGATACAAAAGGTTTGCTAGGGTAGACCCTCTTTCACTCAGACTCAGCCCCCCCCCCCCCAAATCAAAATCCTGGCTACGGGCCTGCTCCTGCTGGTCAAAGGAGCCTTTCCTATTTTGTTGTTTATTCCTGGTGCTCAGGAGCAGAGCTCATGGCAGGGCACTTGTAACACAATTTGAATTTTTTTCTGTTCCTTGTTTGAAAGTGTTCAGAAATAGCATTTATAACCCAGGAACAAAAATAGTCTTACATAGTGTAATTGTCTATATTTTTAGTGGCTTAATGAAAGCAATCAGATTGAGGGCCAATCTACACTGATTTTGCCTTTTTATATAAGGGAGACTATATTATGATAATTTACCTTATAGACTTTGTGTGTAATCGGATTGGAGCATCCATAAATTCTAGTACCCACCGATCCAAACCCCAAGGCATAACTGTGTTGCAAAAGCTCCATTCTTACTCAAATGTGTGCAAATATGATTACCTCATGAGTTATCCAATTTTAATATGCCAGTACATAAGTGACACGTTAAGCAGAAATCTTTAAGTCTGCTATTAAAGGCATGATTTTCCTGCTGGAAAAATGTAAGGCAAGTAACTCAAGTCTTTGCTATTTTGAATGAGAAAACCTTGGTGGTGTATGATTGCATATAGTGCACCAGTGCACTTGAACATAAAATACAACAAATACGTATGGAATAGAATTTGAAACATCACCTGAAAGACGTTGAGATCGACATGGGAAAAGGACAGCCAAGGATACAAGCTTCCAGCTTGTGATTTTTTTTTTCACAGGTGTGCTTTTGTTTTTATCTGAGGCTGAAAGTATGTGACTTAATCATGGTCCTCCAAGTGCCTACAGTTGTGAAATAACTTCAGTGGCCTTTTCTCCATTACTTGAATAAACTTTCACTATTGCAGGCGCTGCTATCAACCCACTTTTTTCTTCATGTGAGTTGTAGTTTATCTGTGTTCCAGTTCAACTACAGCATCATCCAATAACACTCTTGCTTAGTCCTACTCAGATAACACTATGTAATGCAGTATTGTTGAAGGCTTTCATGGCTAGAATCACTGGGTCATTGTGAGTTTTTCAGACTGTATGGCCATTTCCCAGAAGCATTCTCTCCTGACATTTCACCTGCATCTATGGCAGGCATTCTCAGGTTGTGAGGTCTGTTGGAAATTAGGTCTGTTGGAAACTGCCATAGATGCAGGCGAAACATCAGGAGAGAATGCTTCTGGAACATGGCCATATAGGCCAGAAAGCTCACAACAACATATGTAACATTATTTTTGTTCCTGGGTTATATGTGCCATTTTCAAATTGCTTCTATCATAAAAACATGGGCTTCATGTTTATTAAACTGCAAAATCATTGTTTTTGCAGGACATACTGCAACATATATTGCTTGCAGGATTTTTCAATGAATATCTCATGGAGTCTCAACCAGTTGTTATATATCCTTTTCATTGTTTCCCTTGTTAAATCTAGGGGCCACCTGCCTTGACCAGGGCAGCAGGAATCCCAGTGGGAAACCATCGGAATGTCCTGACGGTGGGTCCACGAGGTCCTCTCTTGGTTCAGGATGCAGTTTTTGCTGAAGTTATGGCACATTTTGACCAAGAGAGGATTCCTGAAAGACTTGCTCATGCCAAAGGCGCAGGTTAGTGTTAGAGACAATGCAGTGTATTTCTTGTAAAACAGAGCATCAAATATTTTGAGCTGCTTGTTGCATTCAGAAGGAATAAGAAAATATAAAGAGTTTGTCAAATTGCTGTTTCCTACACTCAGCAATAAGACATTGAGTTGGATCAAATGAAGCAATATTCCTGCTTCTTGGCAGGGGTTGAACTGGATGGCCCATGAGGTCTCTTCCAACTCTGATTCTATGATTCTATGAAGTATTTTATGTCTTCTTCCCATACTTGGTGATCTACTTTTAGGAATCATGATATCACCTGTGGAATACTTTTGTTGTTTTAATTCTGTCATCCTTTACTTTTCCAACATATTTTAAGTGGCATAGTTGAAAAGCTAGCTTCACCTTTCCTGACAAATTGATTTCTAATTGGGTTGCAGTGAGTTTTCCGGGCTATATGACCGTGTTCAGAAGCATTATCTCCTGACATTGAACGTGGTCATACAGCCCGGAAAACTCACAGCAACCCAGTGATTCTGACCATGAAAGTCTTCAACAACACATTGATTTCTAATTTATTGCCTGATTCTTTGTCCTTTTACTTTTTAATTCAGGATTAATTAATTTTTTGAAAAATCCACCTGGCATTGTTTTTCACATTATTAGTAGCACACATTTGTGACCCATGCTGAAGTTGTGTGAAAAACACACAGTGTAGCTAGGAGCAAGGAATTGTGAATTTAACTTAGGGCACAGCTACACTGGCCTGTTATCCTGAAAGGAAGCAGGAGTATCAGTTTTGTATCAGCTAAATGATGCATGGAGCTGATTTGAGTTAATGTAGCCTTAGACCACATTAACAAGTCATGGGTGGCTCCAAATTCTCCCTGAGAAGCTGGAGCAAGCCCTGACTTTGGGTCTATGTATGATGTTCAGTGGGCTCTCAGACAAAATCACTCAGCACTGTTTACACAGCATTCCATATTCCCTGGATTTGGGGGGCCGGAACACTCTCTCACACACTATTTGATGCACACTGCCCTCCTGTTCTCAAGAGTATTTCTTGTTCCTTTATTTGTGATATATATGATCTTTATTTGATATTATTCTATTAAAGTTTCTACAGAAAAGTCACATTTTAAAATAATTTCAGGTGCTTTTGGCTATTTTGAAGTGACTCATGATATCACCCAATATTGCAAAGCAACCCTATTTGAGCACATTGGTAAAATAACTCCCATTGCCATTCGACTTTCTGCTATTGGTAAGGCTTTTTACAATTCTTGGTTTGTATTGTAATTGTAATTTATTTTGTGTGCAATCCACTGATACTTTGATCAATTATCTTCATTGATCTCCTCAGTGAAAAAGTCCTTGATTCCTCCTGGTTTTCCAAAATACTATTAAACAAACTAGAGTAGGAAAGTGTTTGCTAGCCATATCCTAAATCCACCCTATACTAACAGAAAATATATTTTATATCTGAGGCCTTAATACCACTTGGTATTCCCTCTGAAGAAGTTGGTATATATCCGTGAAAACACATGGATATAAAAACTAGATCATTTTAGCGGGGCTCCCACATTTTTCTCTCCACCTTCTTTTGTCCTTTGTATAGACAGAAAATGGTTCATGACACTGTAATTTTTGGAAATGGGGTTTCATGTCTTATAGAGAAAGTTGTCAAATGATTATTTCTAGTCTTCAGTGGATGCATCAACCTAAGGAATGATTCTCATATAAATGGTCTGGCAAATGTAAGTTATATTACTAAGTCTTCTATATATTTGTCTTAGACTATCTTTCCAAATATCACAATTACACAGAACAATAATAAACAACTTGCATTGGGAAAAATTAAGAGTGGCTCTTGTAAACTAAAGGATGTTGTGGTTCTATTCACATATCTGTGCTGCTTGAGGTAACTTGAAATACGATTTGGAGTTTATGAAATCAAAATTTGAGTCACATATTTGTATATAATAGGATTGCATTATGCTTTGGGATATTTACATGAAAATTTAATTTTCATTCTGTATAATTGCAATATTGTGAAACGGATTTCGACAGAAATATATGGAAATTTAATTTATAACTTGTCAATGTCAGCTGATTTGTAAGGGAGTCAATCCTGTATCCCTTCCTGTAATTCCAGTTCTCAGGAGACCAATACAGAAAATTATGCATGTTCTCTTTCTATTAACTTACTAGGATACTATAAATGCCAACATCAGCAAGGATGTCTTTTGAATAGGCATTGTTAAGACAGTGTACATTGTGCTGTAGGACATTATGCTTAGTATAGGTGTTGATGTACTGCACTTTCATTACTAATTTTCCAGGAGAGATTCTTTGACATGTGGTGTATTCAGAGATCTTGTGATGGTTGAGAGGGCAAGAAATTTGTGGGAAAAAAGCTTTTCATAAATCTGTTCCCAAGATAACTGTGAGAGACCTGCTTAGAACTTTAATAGTATTAGTGAAATCCCCTGTATTCAGAATGCATGGCCTTTTAATTGTAAAATCCAGTAAAACTGAGACAAAAGTTAGAGAACATTTTTTTTTGAAAATATTTGTTGGGTCTGACTGCAATTTCCATTGTCTACTATTGGGAAACCTTTGTTTTATAGTTGGTGAATCAGGTTCAGCTGACACAGTTCGTGATCCTCGAGGCTTTGCAGTGAAGTTCTATACAGAAGAAGGCAACTGGGACTTTGTAGGGAACAACACTCCCATCTTCTTTCTTAGAGATCCAATGCTGGTATGTTAGATCATGATGTGCATTTCTCTGGGTTATGAGTTATGACTTAAATCTAGGAATTTGTGAGTAAAAGCAAAGAAAGCACATGATCCCTTCTTCCCATAAACATTAATTTAAAATACTGTGCCAACTGACAGATTCTTTGCTGAAGGCACAATCTGACAACACTGCTTTTGCATAATCAGTACCATTTGTTTTCCTATGTACCAGTGGGTCTATCCTTTGAACCAACCAACTAGGCAGAACCACGTTCCTTCCAGTTATGTCTCTCCCCTTCTCCATCAGTTTTTTTCTGCCAGCCCCAGTGGGTTAAAGCAGTGGTTCTCAACCTGTGGATCCCCAGATGTTTTGACCTTCAACTCCCAGAAATCCTAACAGCCGGTAAACTTGCTGGGATTTCTGGGAGTTGTAGGACAAAACACACAGGGGCCCACAGGTTGAGAACCACTGGGTTAAGCCCTTGTGCAAGCAGGACTGCTCACTGACAGGTCAGCAGTTTGAATCCAGGGAGAGTGGGTTGAGCTCCCTTTGTCAAACCCAGTTCCCCATGTAGGGACATGAGAGAAACCACCTACAAGGATGGTAAAAAGCATCCAAACATCCGGACGTCCCCTGGGCAACATCCTTGCAGATGGCCAATTCTCTCACACAAGAAGTGACTTGCAGTTTCTCAAGTTGCTCTTGACATGAAAAAAAAAATCCTGCCTTCAAACAGATCTGGGGCAACTCTTTTCTCTGTAATTAAATTGATTGAAATAACAGGTATGCATGGCAAAAGTGTTAACCTGAAATGTAATGAAAAGAAGATGTATAGAAAGTAAAGATGACATTCCACTGGGCTGAGAGCCGAAATAAAATAAATAAAAGTCACCCAGATACCCACTACCCAACATGTCTTCAGGGTAGAGCATAAAGATGAGCTCAGGATGATATTTTTAACCTTTAGCAAAAATGAGATGGAGAAAAATAAAGCCATAAAATGATAAATTGAAGGTGCTGAAAGAAAACAGGCTGTAATAAAAAGATATGTGAAAAACTGGTTTTCTTCCCAAAGAGGGAAAAAATATTTATTTATTTATTTATTTGCAATACTTATACTCTGCCCATCTCACCCTGAAGGGACACAGGGACACATATATGGCAAACATTCAATGCCTATTATGCAATGACAAGACAGACAACAGATAAAGGTATATTTAGGCTTTTTCTCATCATTTGGCATCTTTTGGAGGCTGTGCTCAGTTCCGGCCACAGGGGAGTGCTGTGAATTCATCTCCTGCCAAAGAGCTTTCTTTGTTTATAAACTTTCCTCCAAAAGTCCGTTCCTTAATGTGGTTCCTATTTAATGTGGTTCCTATTCATCTACTCACGTTGTTTACCTTATCCAGGACAGTCTGTCCAAGAAAATCTCATGCTCCCTGACATACAGAATGGTTGGACCTTCTCTTCCAAAAGGGAAATTAATGTGCACTTGCTGCAGATGTATCTATCCGCATTCTTTAGCAACAACACAAACTCACCACAGCTTTTGAAGATACCTGCAGCAGCTGCTTCACCATCAATATGAAGGAGTCATAGGCCCACAACACTGCCTTATAAAATCCAGTTTTTTTTGTTTTAAACTGGGAATATTTTCCCACCAGCGTTATAGAACAGGGGCTATTGTCTGGCAATCATCCAATTTGTTTCTGCAGAATTCTGGGAAATGTAATTCAGGGCAGAGCCTTCGGAATTCTCAGTTAGAGACGCTCTCGGCTTCCCTAAACTACATTTTCCAGAATTTTACAGGATCGGATTGGACAATTGGCCTCCATTTATAATGCTGGTGGGAAAACATATTGGATTATATGGCAGTGTTGACTCATATAATCTAGTTCAAAGATGATAAAGTGGATTATCTGCTTTGATCATCTGGATTATATCACAATGAAGATCCAGCCTTATATTGGCATTGGAAAATACCTCCACGTTTCATCCTCAAAACACCCCCATTAAATGCTAATGCAAAAAATTGTGGGCTTCGTTTGTTATCTGGGATCCTGCTTTCCAAGCTCCATGGCTACAGCTATGTAAGGACCTGGTTATGCACACAAAATAACATAGAAGCACACAAGGAATCATCTATTCAGTTTATACTAACAATGACCCTTAAATTCTCCCAAATGACTCTAAAGCTGGGAGGTCTTATTCAAGCCCATCTTATGCTGCTTGTTCTACCATGCTCATGTAAAAAAATACCTGTTAGACAAGCTCTTCTTTGCTGAGCTCCAGGAATCGAGGCTATGGGTATACCGAGAGTTAGTGGCTCATACTAAAGGACAAAGGCATCTGACAAAAAAAGAATGATACTGGATTGGTGGGTCAAAGTTAGTTTTGATTTACAAGTGCATTGTTTCAAACTGATCTGAGAAGAACTATAAAAGGATCTGTGGTACATATAAGTACACAGTAATTTAATTGTATCTTTGTTTTTATTAGTTCCCATCCTTGATCCACAGTCAAAAGAGGAATCCACAGACCCATCTGAGAGATGCAAACATGTCATGGGACTTCTTCAGTCTCTGCCCCGAGACTCTGCATCAGGTTGGAACTAACTTTTCATTCCTAAATATAAATTATAATGTTTTCAAAACTTACAGTTTATTATGTATTATAGGGGAGCTTGGGAAGAAGCCCCTGGATGGAGAATTTCGTAGTCTAGGCTGTTCCCATCCACATATTTGGCTTCTGTGGTAGTCAGGGCTAATCTACACTCCCATATACAATCCAGATTATCTGATTTGAACTGGATTATATGGCAGTGTAGATCCAGCCTTAGTGAGGAAAGGGGAAGGACTTTCCCCAAGGCTCCCATCTACACTTCCATATAATCAAGTTTTTGATCTCAGATTATCTGCTTCAAGAATAAAATATATCTGGAAATGTCAGGATTTGGTGAGGAGCCAAGTGTGACAGCATATCCAGGTAGCTAATTGCTAGGTCAGGATGACAAGGCAGGTTTGAGGGCCCTTCCAGACATATCAAAGTCCTGAGATGCAATGCAACTGTTTGGTCTGCCCCTGACACGATAAATAAAAAATAAAGTCCTGAGCAGAATTGGGATATAAAATCCCGATTCCTATCATGACTTTGTTCCCACTCCAACCCCCAAATCTGGGCTTTCCCTCGGGGTGGTTAGATGCCATCCAGCCCCCTCCAGCCCCCCATTTCCTCCCCCAAAACTTACCCGAGGGGTCTGTCAGCCACACTAGCCCTTCTGGAAAGTTCTGTAGTCACATCAAAATTATGCTTCAGGAGATGGAGCGGGGAGAGGATTTTTGGGGGAGGAAATGGGGGGATGGGAGGGCAGACTGGAGTGCCATCCTGCTCCTCCAGGCTTTGAGAGCCTGAAGAAATGGGATGGCTGTGGGGACTTGTCCCTAGGACTGCAGAAGCAGTCCTGGGAGTCAGTACCCACAGGGCCCTCACGTGGAAAGATCTGGTCATTATCTTAAGGTCTGGATCTTTACAGGTGTTTTTGAAACCTGGATTAAACTGAGTAAATTAGGTTTACTCCAGTTTGAAACAGATTAGCCTGGAACATCATCTGGATGCCTCAGACTAATCTGTTTTTTAGCCTAAGTTTTAGGACTGTGTAGAAGGGCCCTGAGTGTGTGATGCAATCATGAAGCTTAAGTGTCTGGTGCAACCATGAAGTGATACCAATGCACTAGGGATAATGCAGTACCATATGTGATTTGCTGGGTGTTGAATATAAATAGAAAAGCCAACATGTTTGGTGTTGTTGGTGTGCTGGTGTCACTACTGATCATTGGTGGACGTTGGAGAGGGGAACCTTCATGAGAGAATTTGCTTAGAGTAAGAGAAGGAGAGAACGTGATTTTTGTACAGAGCTGTTTGTATTTTTGCTACTGAACTGAAAGATAAAAGTTGTGCTGTTCAATCAGGTACCAGCAGTCTACATAGAAAGAGTACAATATCCCAACAGAAGGCATATTCTTAAAAACAGTGCTGCTTTGTATGACGGTCTGAATATTGGTCCATTAGCTCTCAGTTGGTATTAGCTGAAGAGCTTCTAGAAGAAAATAAATAGTTCTTGTGAATGGCACAAATATATCACTGATTCCTGGTATAATTGAGAAAAAATTGACTGTTGTCCCACATACCAAATAACTTGAAAAGTAGTAATCTATCATACCTAAGAATCTAGCTTTGAATTTTCATGCAACATGACCTGCATGAAAGATCTCAATAAAGGTTCCCGTTGTTGTTGCTTTATAGTTATCATTTGTGTTCAGTGATCGTGGCATTCCAGATGGATATCGTCATATGCATGGCTTTGGATCAAATACTTTCAAGCTAGTGAATGCCTGTGGAAACGCAGTGTACTGCAAATTCCATGCAAAGGTAAGCACTGCAGTGTTTCTGTTTAGAATTTTACTTTGAAGAATATGCTATTAATAAAGTATGTTTAGATTTTAAATACATTCTTAGTTGATTTTGAGCATGTGGTGTGATTTTTCTGTCATTTGTTCTTAGGGAGTAATATAGTTTAAACATGTAAATATGTTATTTTTGTTTTTATTGTTTTCCAGTTAAATATACAGTATTTTATGTTTTGTTAATATACTTATGTGTTCCTTTTCCCATATCTATATTTATATTTCTATCTATCTGCGGTATATATAAAAGGGGCTGTGGTGGCTCAGTGGGTTAAACTACTAAGCTGCAGAACTTGCTGGCTGAAAGGTTGGTGGTTCGAATATGCAGGACGGTGTGAGCTCCTGTTGTTAGCCCAAGCTTCTGCCAACCTAGCAGCTTGAAAACATGGAAATGTGAGTGGATCAAGAGGTACCGTTTTGGCAGGAAGGTAACAGCGCTCCATGCAGTCATGCTGGCCACATGACTTAGGAGGTGTCTATGGACAATGCAGTATCTTAATGTCAAAGGGAAAAATTTACCTTTACCTTTATGGTATATACAATTCAAAAAGATTATTGCACACGTTTTCATAGGGGTTGTCTACTCCCAAAATAATAATAAAATCTGTATCCACCCCTATTCCAGGGATGTACAAACATATGGCCATTTTAGTATTGCAACTCCTTTCATTCATTTTTTAAAAATTCACTTCTTGCTCTGCGGTGTCTTGGAAAAACTGTTGCTTTTCCAGTGGGTCCACCTCGATTAAGGTACCATTGGATGATGTGGGGTGGGAAAGTGAGACAGACTTTTGGGTAGCAAATGTTGCAATTTAAAAAAAATGTGTAGATGATGCCCTCATCTTTGAGGTGGCAAATAAACTGTATCTTTCTACCTGGATACATTGAAACACCACCACTGTCCCTGGCAGTGCTGTACTTTCAAAGTCACTTGTTCTGAGGTAAGAAGAAAGTGTCCTCTCATTTTTTGTTCCCTGCATCATTGGTAAAAGATTTTCTGAACATCACCTAGTGGATGTTTTTGACATTTACACATTTTTTTTTGTGCAGTGTTTAGAGTGGACTCTGCAGAAGATGCTTCAGTTGGATGTCATAGAAAGAGAAATCACCCTGTTTAGCAAGTCTTGCAAATCTTGATTTGTTACCAGTGAATATATGATTTTTATATCTATTTTATATACCTATATACCCAGGGTCACATAAAAATTGTCAGGTGGAAAGGGGTTGTGACTGGAAAATGTAAGAATTCCTGTTGTAGGTAACTCTGTAGACACGGTTTACTTCTTCAAGTTTCTTTGAAAATTGTTGTTGATGTTTTAGTTGTTATTGTTGTTGTTGTTGTTGTTGTTGTTGTTGTTGTTTTTGTGGGATTTTCAGATGCTGCTTATATATTAGTTGAGAGTTTACTAAGTAATAATTTGGAATTATTAGTTTTTGTCCAACATCTTTAGTGATAGAAATGGCCCAAGACATTCTGGTTTTCCCACAAAATAGTTATCCCTCCACATTTGCTGGGTTTAGGGCCACAGGACACACATGTATGTAAAAAAATGCAAATAAAAATACTAGGTTTTTAATTTGCTTCTCTAGAATTCTTTAGATTAGCAGTTCCCGAAGTGTGCTCCATGCTTCCCTCCTTCACCTCCAACTATTCCCTCCCCCCCTGCTCTTCCCCTTGCCTCCAAAAGCCTTTTTCCTTGCCTCCCTTCCCTCCAAAATCTTTTTTTACTCACTTCCCTTGTCCCTAAAAGCCTTTTTTCCTTGATCCCCTCACTCCCAAAAGCCTTTTTTCCTCTCCTATCCTGCCCCAAAGGCACTTTCCCCCTGGCTCCCTCACCTCCAAAAGCCTCCCTTCCCACCTCACTTGCCACCCTGATCTTTTTCCCCTCGCCTTCCTAGCTTCCAAAACCCTATTTCCCTCCCCCTGCTCATGGAGTGCTTTGCTCGTTTTTGGAATTGAAATGGATGGCCCATGGGGTTTCTATTATTATTATTATTATTATTATTATTATTATTATTATTAATAATAATAATAATAATTATTATTATTATTATTGCATAATAATAATAATAATCAGCTGCTGCAAGAAGATCGCACAGACAGACTACAAGCAGAGGCATAACACCGTTGCTCAGATGATTCATTGGAACTTGTGCCACAAATACCATCTGCCTGCGACAACTAACTGGTGGGATCACAAGCTGGAAAAAGTTACAGAAAATGAGCACGTCAAACTCCTCTGGGACTTCCGAATTCAGACAGACAGAGTTTTGGAGCACAATACTCCTGACCTCACGATGTGTTAAAAAACAAAGTATGGATTGTCGATGTTGCAATCCCAGGTGACAGCAGGATTGAAGAGAAACAACTGGAAAAGCTGACATGATATGAGGATTTAAAGATCGAACTACAAAGACTCTGGCACAAGCCAGTCAAGGTGGTCCCAGTGGTGATTGGCACACTGAGTGCAGTGCCTAAAGACCTTGGCCTGCACTTAAACACAATCGGCGCTGACAAAATTACCGCCTGCTGCAGAAGGCCACCTTACTGGGATCTGCACCCTAGACACTTGGGAAATGAGTTCAAGTCCCCAGGGCCAGATCAACTACACCCCAGAGTATTGAAGGAACTAGCGGAAGTCATTTCGGAACCATTGGCAACCATCTTTGAGAGTTCTTGGAGAACGGGAGAAGTTCCAGCAGATTGGAGGAGGGCCAATGTGGTCCCAATCTTCAAGAAGGGAAAAAAGGATGACCCAAACAACTACCGTCCGGTCAGCCTCACGTCGATACCGGCAAGATTCTGGAAAAGATTGTTAAGGAAGCGGTCTGCAAACACTTAGAAACAAATGCAGTCATCGCTAATAGTCAACATGGATTTATCAAAAACAAGTCATGCCAGACTAATCTGATCTCTTTCTTCGATAGAGCTACAAGCTGGGTAGATGCGGGGAATGCCGTGGATGTAGCGTACCTGGATTTCAGTAAGGCCTTCGACAAGGTCCCCCATGACCTTCTGGCAAGGAAACTAGTCCAATGTGGGCTAGGCAAAACTACGGTGAGGTGGATCTGTAATTGGTTAAGTGGACGAACACAGAGAGTGCTCACTAAGGCTTCCTCTTCATCTTGGAAAGAAGTGACAAGTGGAGTGCCGCAGGGTTCCGTCCTGGGCCCGGTCCTGTTCAACATCTTTATTAATGACTTAGATGAAGGGCTAGAAGGCATGATCATCAAGTTTGCAGACGACACCAAATTGGGAGGGATAGCCAATACTCCAGAGGACAAGAGCAGGATTCAAAATGATCTTGACAGATTAGAGAGATGGGCCAAAACTAACAAAATGAAGTTCAACAGTGACAAATGCAAGATACTCCACTTTGGCAGGAAAAAAACGAAATGCAAAGATACAGAATGGGGGACGCCTGGCTCGGGAGCAGTACGTGTGAAAAAGATCTTGGAGTCCTCGTGGACAACAAGTTAAACATGAGCCAACAATGTGATGTGGCGGCAAAAAAGCCAATGGGATTTTGGCCTGCATCAATAGGAGCATAGTGTCTAGATCTAGGGAAGTCATGCTCCCCATGCTCTATTCTGCTTTGGTTAGACCACACCTGGAATATTGTGTCCAATTCTGGGCACCACAATTCAAGAGAGATATTGACAAGCTGGAATGTGTCCAGAGGAGGCGACTAAAATGATCAAGGGTCTGTAGAACAAGCCCTATGAGGAGCGGCTTAAGGAGCTGGGCATGTTTAGCCTGAAGAAGAGAAGGCTGAGAGGAGATATGATAGCCATGTATAAATATGTGAGAGGAAGCCACAGGGAGGAGGGAGCAAGCTTGTTTTCTGCTTCCCTGGAGACTAGGACGCGGAACAATGGCTTCAAACTCCAAGAGAGGAGATTCCATCTGAACATGAGGAAGAACTTCCTGACTGTGAGAGCCGTTCAGCAGTGGAACTCTCTGCCCCGGAGTGTGGTGGAGGCTCCTTCTTTGGAAGCTTTTAAGCAGAGGCTGGATGGCCATTTGTCAGGGGTGATTTGAATGCAATATTCCTGCTTCTTGGCAGTGGGTTGGACTGGATGGCCCATGAGGTCTCTTCCAACTCTTTGATTCTATGATTCTATGATTCTAAGTGTCCGATGTGTGATCCAATGCAAAACCAGCGGAGTGATCTTGTTTGCTGTGGACTCATCTTGTTCTGTTTCAAATAATAATAATAATAATAATAATAATAATAATAATAATAATAATAATAATAATAATATAATGCTTTATTTGTATTCAGCCCTATCTCCCCAAGGGGACTCAGGGTGGATTCCAGCATATACAGAGACACAAGGCAAACATTCAATGCCTCAAAACAATGAAACACAGACACATAAATAAAGGTAAAGGCACTCCCAACAGAATGGCCAGCTGTTGTGGGTGTTTGATTATGCTTATTCCCTCAAAGAATGGTTACCAGTCCAACCCATTATATGCCACATGAATACTGGATCAGTGATGGTCTTAAATAAGAAACATAGGTCTACACTGATACACATCACTTGATGTAGTCTTGTTTTTAGCACTTACAGGGTGCTTTCAGATAGCGCCAAAATCTGTGTTTTAAATCCAAGACAAAAATTCCGGGACATGACAGCAGGTCCACACACAGAACCATGAGTCCAGGGATATGGTCCTCACAACCTTCCTCTGTAACAGATAAATGGATGGGGACTTCCAGCAGAGGGTTTTTTTTTTTTAAAAAACATATCACTCTGTTATGTACTGGACTATATATGCACACATGTGAATATCTTAATATAAACACAAGCAGGTTTGTGTGTGCACATATGAGGTCTAGTGCATAATGGAGGGCATTTTTTTTTAAAAAAAATCATCAGATCTCTCTCCTTTCCCAATTCTTAATTCAACCTCTGTTTAAGATTATAAAGAATGAAATAAGGAGTTTCAGAGAGTTCTAATTGTTCTCCAGTTGTGCTTCCCTTGAACCACCTGTGTGTCCATTTGTCAGCCCAATTAGCTGATCAGGTATTTCAGGCCTTTAAAAAGTGCACATGTCCTGGGGCAGTCTACACAGGGGGGAAGGAAGGAAAGCATGTGTTTTGCATGACCACAGGGATATACAGTCATGCAAAGGTGCCCATTCTTCAGGAGGAATCGGCTTTTAAGCACACCTTTTAAACGTGTGTTTTTTGGCTCTTAACTTGATCCTTCTCACAATTTTGCCAAATGTTGTTTAACCAATAGCCACTCCCCTTTTAACCCAGTTACTTCTGGATTTTACAGCATGTGTAGAAGGGCCCATAGTGTTTTGTATATAAAGTCTGTTTCCACACCTATATTGCTGTCAGTTGAGTCAGGAAAAGGAATAAGATTTTTTTTAAAAAATGTTGTTCACATCTGATTATTAATTAAAGTTAAGATAGATTTCTTTTTACGTTTGCAGACTGACCAGGGAATCAAAAATCTTACTGTTGAAGAAGCAGAAAAGCTGGCTGCTAAAGATCCTGACTATGCTCTGCGTGATCTTTACAATGCTATTGCGAATGGAGATTATCCATCATGGAGTTTCTATATTCAGGTCATGACATTTGAACAAGCTGAGACATTTCCATTTAATCCCTTCGATGTAACTAAGGTAAGTATGATATATTTTTCTCTCACATACTTCATATAGAGAAGAAATGTTGTCATATCTCTGTTCTACAAGTCTGGAAACTTTGATCTGAGAGAAGACCACAATAAAAAGTCTGTCTCATTTTCTAGGTTTGGCCTCATGGGGATTATCCTCTCATTCCTGTGGGAAAGATTGTCTTAAACAGGAATCCTGTCAACTATTTTGCTGAAGTGGAACAAATTGCTTTTGACCCAAGCAACATGATCCCAGGAATTGAACCTAGCCCTGATAAAATATTGCAGGTATAGGCTATTTAATATTTCTTCACCTCTGATGGCATATTCTTCTTAAGCTTTCTAAGCTGCAGTATAATGAGAAATGCTAGTATTTCTTCTGATGGTTTTAACTGTTGATTTTTAATACTTCTAATGTTTAATACTATTTTAAGGTTTGCATATGTTAGGTTTTAATTCACACATTGTTGTTGTATTTATTGTTATCTGTTTTGAGTCTCCTTTGGCAGAAAAAATAGGGTATAAATAATATAATCATCTTCTTCATTGTCACTTTCCTAATATGAGATCTAGGCTCCATGCCAATTGACCCCCTAAAGTTATGACACAGATAAAGCCACCAGAGGGAGCAATTACAAACCATAGGTGGGCGAGCACTTTGCAAATGAGAAGACATTTGCTGGGTTGTGGTTCCTGGCAGCTGCCTTTTTACTCCATCCCCAGACCAGAGTGAAGACCAGTTCTGGTCAGTACAACAAGAAGCGAATGAGTTTGAACCACTTGGTTCAAACGCATTGGCTGTTGCTCCTTAGCTCCTCCTTCCATGCTCCCCAAGCACAGAGCATGCTTGAAGAGGGATTGTTGGCACTTCAGGAAATGGCAGTCCCAGCAATAGTGCTCCATCCATTCTGCAACCTTCTGTGATAGTAATGCCATTTTCTTCAGTGCTGTTTCCACAATTAAGTCAGTAAAATGTAAAATAGAAATTTTGGAGGCACTTATTAATCTGTATGAATTTACAATTAATGTGATATTTTAATTGATCTGGAGGATTTGAACCTTGGACAACCAGATTCAAGCCCTCCAGGTGCTATAAAACTTCCTAGTGACATTTGGCCAGTATTTTCTTCTAATCAAACCTACCCCACAGAGCTGTTGTGAAGGTGAACTGAGAAGAAGGAAAGACATTCATACTGCTTATCTTTGAAGTATAAATGTAATAAGTTATGGTCTACCTGTAAAATAGTCATTACTGTATGAAATGCTAAAGGGAAACAATTAAAGGTTTGGTTTTTAAAAAATCTCACATGGTTTGTGTTTAAGAAACTGAAAGAAACCATGTGATTCTTTCATGGCTCCAGATAATTGTTTTTGGCTGACTTAGGGCACTTCCAGACAGGAGTTTATTGCTGGTGAAAATGGGTTAAAGTTACCAATTTTTGCTCGTGTTGATGTCCCCACAGGTGCCCAAAAGAAACAGGCTTTCCCGGGAGCACCCCCCCCCCCCCCGGAAGCCCTACAAATAAAGGAAAACTTACCGGGTTGCCTAATGGTAAGTTTTCCTTTATTTTAAAGGCTTTTAGGGGATGGGGTTGGGGAGGGGGGGGGTGCTCTCCTTGGTTCTCCAGGCTTTTTGACACCTGAAGAATGGAGGTGGATTGTGGGGACTGACCCCAGGAATGTGGAAGCAGTCCCATGGGTCAGTCCCCACTGGCCCCATACTCCATTAAACACAGCCCTTTCAGGAAGGCCTGGGTCTAATAGAGTAACAAAGTAATTCAAGACAAAGCAGGGTTTACCTTTGTGATATTTTATTCTAGGGGCGTCTCTTGTCCTACCGAGAGACCCAGAGACACCGTCTGGGATCCAATTATCTGCAAATTCCTGTCAATTGCCCATACCGAACTCGCGTAGCCAATTACCAGAGAGATGGGTATATGTCCATATCTGGCAACCAAGGTAATTGCGGTATCTCATTTGGGAGTAATTCTTTAATAATGCCCATGCGTGATCACTCTTTGCCAAGTATGATTGTCTTCCAGGAGTAGAGTCTTGGCAGCAGATCTATAGAAGACCTATTCTGGATCCTTATGGTCTTTCACATTTTGGGCATAGATTTCTAGATAGAAGGATTAGCTTGACACACTTTCTTCTTCTTGGAATGTTTATCCCTTTTACCCTCTATTTTTGCCTCTTCAAATTCCACAACACTCTTGGTAACAGCTGACTTCCAGTTAGAACACTCAAGGACTAGGGCTTCCCAGTTCTCTATATTTATGTCACATTTTCAAAGGTTAGCTTTAAGCCCATCTTTAAATCTCTTTTGTTATCCAGCAACATTCCATTTTCCATTCTTGAGTTGAGAATAAAGTCACTGCTTTCTTTGGGAGACAGTGGTCTGTCATTTAGACAATGTCACCAGTCCAGCAAGGTGGATGGCAGTGAATTATGGCTTCAGTGTTGGTGGTCTTTGCTTCTTCCAAAATACTGGTGTCAATCCACCTGTCTTCCGAAGACATTTGCAGGATTTTTCAAATACAATGCTGATAGAATCTTTCCAGAAACTGAGAGTGGTGTTTTTAGATAGTCCCTGTTTTGCAGGCATACAACAGAGTTAGAAAGACAATAACTTTATAAACAAGCATCTTGGTATACCTATGAATGTCCCAATCCTTGAACACTCTCTGTTTCATTTGAAGAAAATTACTGCACATGCAGAGCTCAGGTACAGAGCTCATTCCATGTTGACCCTTGTGGAGAGGTCACTGCCCAGGTAGCAGAAGTGGTCAACATTTTTAGCATTACACCATTCAGCTGTATTTCTGGCATTGCAGAGAGATTGGTTTGTGTCTGCTGGTAGAACACATTCAGTTTTTCAATATTAAGTGAAAAGCCAATCTTATTTGCTTCTGCAGAGGTGTTTAAACGGCTTGTAGGTTTTCCTCTGAAAAGCACAGATCATATTAGAGTTCTGTAACATAACTTATTGTTACCTTAGTTTTGACTTTCATCCTGCTGTGATTAAATAGCTTGTCATCTGTCCAATGGGTATCTATCCATATCTGGTAACCAAGGTAATTGTAATATATTTTTTAGAAATAATGCTTTAATAATGCACAGTAACATCAGGAAGAGTTTATTGTCAGATTCCCTTGGTTAAAGTCTATTATATTTACTTGCTTCCAATTAGTCAAATGAGAGATGATCAGGATTTTTAGTCTCTTACTGCTGAAAATATTTCCGCACATAGATCTTTCCAAGTGAAGATGATGGCAGAACTATTTCAAACCTTCTCCAGTAAAATTATTTTACATTCTTTCTCTCTTGTAATAGTAAAATATTTTCCCCCTTAGGTGGTGCTCCAAACTATTATCCAAACAGTTTTAGTGGCCCCCAGGACCAGCCCCACTTGCAGGAATCCTGTGAAAATATCACAGGTGACATAAAGCGCTTCAATGATGACAATGAGGACAATGTATCTCAGGTAAGCAGAACAGAATTTGTCTATTATCTTATTTTGGGAATGAGATGCCTATCTATGTTGTTTGTTTTTTTAATGAAGCAAATTTATTTCCTTGAGATATCTGCTAAACGCAGAGCAATTCTTAGCTCTAAAGTAGTGATTTGCAACCTCTCGTATGTCATATACTGTTTATCATTCTGTGGAATAACATGTATCCTCCAGAATATAAGACATTTTCAACAATAACATTTGTATATTTATATGTATTCTATTATTGTGGTCTTCTATGTTTTAAAGGATAAAAAATGCAGTGTAGCATGGTAGTAAACATAAACTAAAATAATATTTTCATTAGTTGAATTATATTCAGTATAAGCTTTTGTACTACCTAAACTGTGTAATGTTCAGATAGTAGTTTGTCACACTTAACAGGAGGACACAGGACTGGAAAGTGAGTGGACTCCTCATTATTGTTCTGAAAATTCTGTGTTCCATTTACAACTATTTATGTCTTCAGCATTTGTTACACATACTTATCTTTAAAGACTCCACCTAATCAGTTTTCTTTTTTAATAGGCAGGGTGCAGTGTTGAGGCAGGAACAGTCTTTTTTCCTGCTCAAAAGCACATCTAAAGCTGTTGTTGAGTCAGAAGGATACTACAGCACATAGTGTCTTAGGCCCCTTCTACACTGCCATATAAAATCCAGATTATCTGCTTTGAACTGGATTATATGGCAGTGTAGACTCATATAATCCAGTTTAAAGTAGATAATCTTGGATCAGATCCTGGGATATAGGGAATTGTAGAAGGGGTCTTGGGGTCCCATCTACATGGGTCAAATGAGGTGGGGGAGGGGTAAATAGACTTTTATGGCATTTATGTGACACACAAGCTGATTTCCTGTAATGCCCAGCAGGTCTACTTAACACAGCTTTTCCTCGTGCTAACCAAGGTCAGGAGATACTGGAGCTTCCAAGAAGGTCTAGAAATCACTTGAACTTGAACTGTCATAAACAGTTGGGATGGTTCTGATTTGGAATTGACCACTGCTGTTTACACGTCAATCTCTATGTTGTGTCATCATCTTAGTGGTGATCATTGGGCATAAAATTGCTAGCGGTTGTCACTTGGAGTATATAGTGATGTTGGCTGGAGGGCCAAAGCATTTGGGGGATGTAGGAGAGAGCAATTCCTCCCTTATCACTCCGTATCCTGTGTTTCTCTGGTGCTCTGGCCAGTGTCACTACATGTGTCAAGAGATGATCACCACCAATTTCATACCCAGTGGTTGCAACTAAGCTGAGGATACCCTTACTAATGGAGGCAGTAAGGGTGGCCATCCAGTGGCAACCACTGATTTGGTTTGGGGCCTGAAAGACATTTGGACTCAGCTTGGTAGTGGTCAGTTCAGACAGCTACCAGTTTCCAAGCTGACTTCATGGCTTACTGTGAGGACTATCCTGGCATTAATCCAGATATCCCATTTGGGATCACTGCTGTATTTGGGTGTGTAGAAGGACCGTTAGATGAGAAATCTGGCTTGGATATTTCTTCTTGTGCCAGAAGAAAATTGGCTGTTACTTTTAATAAGGGCATGATGGCTTGTACACATGCACTATAAAATATATGTAGTTTGATATGTGGGCCAGTGCTATAAAGGAAACAACATATCTGAAATGGTAAACCTGAGAGAAATCTTCAAGAATAGTCCTTATAACACATTACTTTGCCTTCTTATGAGAATGGCTTTGATTAATACCGCCAAAGATACAATATGAGGTCCACAGTTTCTATTATTTTAGAAAAATTATAAATTGATAAATAGCAACAAGATAGCTCTATAATAGAGGATTTCTTTTCAACTTTTATTTAAAGGTACGGGTCTTCTATACCAAAGTATTGACAGAGGAAGAACGTGAAAGACTCTGTGAGAACATTGCTGGCCGTCTTAAGGATGCTCAGCTTTTCATTCAGGAGAGAGCTGTAAGTGGTAAACTATTATATCCAGTTACTCCTGATTTTTCTGTAATTACTTCTGATGTAGTGAAGAGGATACACATGGATTGCAGAATGCATAGAAATATAAAATGCAAAAGAACGGATGCCTGAGTGGAAAGATAAAAGGTATTAAGACGATAAAGGCTCAACATCTTTAAAATACAAGGATCAAATAATAGTGAAAGCCTCAGTTGCAGCTGAATAAATAACAGTAGAGTAAGTAGACTTCCTTTCCACATAAAAATGAAAATTGTTAATTATTTCCTACTCTCCCATGTAAAATATGGCAGAGCTTCCTGTTTGATTTGTGACAACTAACTAAAACACTAAAGTAGTGTGGCCACTAAATTTTTACTTTTCTATTTCTATAATCAGTTTAACAGCTGCATTGTTACTTGGCTTGGCTCAACTCCTAAATTTTCTATAATCATAGTGGGATCCATGCCTGAGTAAGCATGCAGTTGTTATCATAATCTCAGGTTGTTGTTTTTTTGTCGTGTCAGGAGCGACTTGCACCGGGATTGTGGCACAGCTTGCTGAGTGTCAGCTGCATTAAGATCACTCTGACCAGAAGGTCATGAGTTCGAAGCCAGCCCGGGTCAGAGTGAGGTTCTGGCCAATTTTGTGTAGCTTGTTGTCGACCTTTGCAACCCGAAAGACAGTTGCATCTGTCAAGTAGGAAAATGAGGTACCACCTATGTTGGGGAGGCTAATTAACTAATTTATGAGGCCATAAAAAGACTCCAGCAAAAAGCACTCCAGCAAAGCATGCGGGGAATGCGGAAGTACTTCATCAGTGTCGCAGATGGACGATGAAAGCGACAGCTCCCCTAGTGGCCAGAAAAAGTTAAATAGCCTCTGTGTATGTCTATATACGTTGTATGTCTAATTGGCATTGAATGTTTGAGAGAAGGGCAGAATATAAATGCTATAAATAAATAAATAAACCTGCAAGTTGCTTCTGGTGTGAGAGATCTGCCCATCTGTAAGGATGTTGCCCACGGGACGCCGGGATGATTTGATGTTTTTATCATCCTTGTGGGAGGCTTCTCTCATGTCCCTGCACGAGGAGCTGGAGATTATAGAGGGAGCTCGTCCGCCTCTCCCCGGATTTGAACCTGCGACCTATCAGTCTTCATTCCTGCTGGCACAGGGGTTTAACCCACTGCACCACCGGGGGGGGGGGGGCGGCTTGGGTGCAGGGAGTGTGGTTTTGGTGTTGGGATTGGGTTAGGCAGCTTGAGTGTGGGGAGTGGGCAGGGAAAGCAGCTTGGGAATGTGGCTTGGGTGTGGGGTTTGGGAAGTGAGGGTAGCTTAGGTGTGGGGGGTGGGCAGGCAGAGAAGCTTGAGATTGCGGCTTGGGTGTGGGAGTGGGCAGTGAGGGTGGCTCAGGTGAAAAATTAATTTTCAGCTCATGGCCTAACATAGCTTTAGAGAAATTTTAGTACACCTCTGAGTACTGGTTGTTTCACATAGGAAGAGAACACTACAGAGCTCATAATACATTGTCTTTTGAAAGCAAGACTTGAGTCTGTTTTGAACTAACTTGACCCCATTCCACATCATAGAAAGCCTTTGATGAAAATTAACTGTGAGCAGTGCATATCAAAAAACCCTTATAACACTGCTTCAAACTCCTTTGGTGATCCAGGTGAAGAACTTCACTGATGTTCATCCTGACTATGGTGCACGCATTCAAGCCCACTTGGATAAATACAATGCTCAAGACTCCAAAAAGGTATGGGAGCTATTTCATCTCAGACTGCTGTGTAGGAGGAGGAGACTGGGAAATGTTGACAAAAGCCATCAAGATATGAATAGCTGTAGATGGAGACTGGAAAATGGGAAGGGATAAATGGGAGTAACTCTCTGCAAGCAGAGGTTGCAGATCCCCTCAAAATGGCCTCTCTCTGGCTGCACAAATGTGTCTTTTGTGAATGTTCACTGTCTGGTACTGCATTAAAGCTTATTTTAACCAGGTCATCTTAAGTACCTCTGTAAGTCTTTGTGACCTATCTGTCATTTGAAACTGTATGTTGTGTGGTAAGACCCAGGCTTTGACTGCCCCCACACAAATATTAACTGCAGTAAATTATATATTCCTAAAACCCAAGCAACCAAGTTGATGCTGGGGCTGATGGTACACCTGAACACCCAATCCTAGAGTGTGTTCTTTATTCTGTGCATCTTTACTATCTAGATTTAACATCTAGAACTCTGCAGTGTTGGATAAGATTCCACTTTAAAAGGATTGTTCATTTTATTACAAATTTCTCTTTCGGGGAAACTACACTTTTACTGGAAGGCAGAAACTCCATAATTTAACAGTATTAATGTTTGAAAGAGAACTGTATATATTTCTGTGGTAACTATAACCTTCACACTTGCACTAGATAACTTGCTTGTTCTGAAACAAGCATTTGAAAACAGAATGTGAGTTAATGGTTAGTTTTTGAAAAAGGAATATGCCATAGTTAAAGAAAATTCAATAGCTAGAAAAACCTACCACTTAAAAAGCAAATATTACTCTATTAATATATATTTTCTTTTCTTTTCCTAGGGTTCAGTACACTTTTGTACACAAGCTTCACCTAATACTGGGAAAAGCTAATGGCATGATCTCAAAATATCATTTCTGCTGATTAGAGCATTATCTCATGAAATTACAATCTATCTAACTGGAAAATGATACATGCAGTGCCTTAACAAATGTTTACATGTTTTCTTTTAACATGTTGTTAAATTTTGCAAGTCAATTAATCAAAATTTGTGTTCTACTAATCTTTCACTTATTTATTAAAGAGAATATACATAACACTGGGAAGATGTTTAACTTCCAACTTGGAGAGCCTCATAATAGCATTTGCACACAGAATTGACATCCTTCCAAACAGAAAAATTCATATATAAATAAAGAAATCATTTTACTATAATAACTATTAGGCTGGTGATTGCAATTCCAAAATAACCCAATAATTTGCAATTATGATTGCAGGTAATCCAAATTACATTGCATGTACATTGATGCAGGATCTATACTGCCTTATATCGCAGGATCTGATCCCAGATTATCTGTCAGTATAGACTCATATAATCCAGTTCAAAGCAAATAATCTGGGATCAGATCCTGGAATATAGGGCAATACAGATCCAGGCTGAGGCTATAATAGTAATAACTTTTACAGTGAAACATATACCATTTTAGACAGCAGCAATTTCAAAAAGCAAACCCCAATTTTCCCTGTTTATGTAAGAAACACAATATTACTATACCACTGTGTATAATAGGACTTGAACATCCATGGATTTTGGCATCCACAGGGGGTCCTAGTGTCATGGGTAACTAAGACCACAGATAAAGAGGATTTGTGCTCAGTGACTGCAAGATAACTGAATGAGCCAGGACAGAGAAGCACCAGGGTGAAGACAAGGCAGAGGTTTATTCAATCTGGTCAGGAGGGATGCAAGTACAAGTGGATGGGTGAAAGTGTAAAAACATAACATACAGAGAGACACTATTTAAAATACACATGGCAGCTATTTAAAACCCACTTCCCTTCCTAATTGGCTGAGAGAGGCCGGTCTGGATCTACACCTTGATTGGTTGAGGGTGCCATGAATATCACCACTTCCAAGTGGGTATTCCCATTTGTAGGGAAATGAAAACCCAGGATTCCCCAACTGTGGATCCAATCAGCTGTTGGAATGCCCCCTGGGAGGGTACGTTCTAGACAAATAATGTCCAAGAAATGATAATGAGTCATTGATTGACTCAACTGTCCGGTTCTGATTTTAATAAAGGTGCAAGGATCTGGAGACAAAATGTGATAATTCCGGCAATCAAGGGATGAGTATTCAATAAAATGTTAAGCAAATGTACATATTTGGAATTTCTGTTTCCACAGTTCGCAATCTCTCCACCCAAGTGGACCATTTAGCTGAACAAATGGCTTATCTAGTCTGGCATAGAAACTATCTTTTTACATATACACACAATGGATCGTGATGAACAATCAGAGGGATTAGCCCAATCTTTCCTGTCTGGGAAATGTCTCAACAGTGGTTGCAAAAGGTGAAGACCTTTGAGCTTGGGCTTGCATTTTTATAAGAACCAGATACATTTCATACATGGAGATAGATATGATATATGTCTAAATATACAAATTAGACAGGAAAATTAGAATAGAAAGGTATATTTTATTAAAGAGTTGAAACAATAAAATCATAATTTTTTCAGGGGTGGGTGGTGAGTGGTTATATTGTACTTTTAGAAATAAATAAGCATTGAAGCAGGTGTTTGAGGGTGTGGTTAAACTATGATGATGTTTCATAAAAAAACCAAAAACATATTGCATTACCAGAGCGTGCTTCTCTTCCATATATTGGAGCCAAATTACACTTATTTTTGTCTTTAGTTTTTGTTCCATGCAACTGGGGGCACATCCAGACAAACCTATATCTCGGGACTCAGTTTTTACCGGAGGCATCTAAATGACGACTTCAGTAAAAATGCATTAATTCAGAACAAACCAAGGTTTTTCTGGTTTGTTCCAAATTAATTTGATACCCCATTAGATCAAGGTCTTTGGTTTCCCTTCTCTGTGTGACTGCAAAGGGCAAGGGAATGAGGTGGGCATGGCTACGCTCAGCTCTTCTTGACGGCCACTGTGTGGCAGGCCCCCACTGGCCGTCAAGAAGAGCTCATTTCCCTGCTTCATTTCCCTGCCACCTGGCCTTCAGGAAGAGTTGGGCGTAGCCACGCCCACCTCATTTCCCTGCCACCCATCGCTGTTCGCAGTCACCCACCCAGGGAAGGGAAACTGCGAGATTAGTTTTAAAATCTCGCAGTTTCCCTTCCCTGGGTGGGTGACTGCGAACGGCGATGGGTTTCAGGCAGGGAAATGAGGTGGGCGGGCTATGCCCAGCTCTTCCTTATGGCCACTAGGGGCCTGGCCTTCAGGAAGAGTTGGGCGTAGCCACGCCCACCTCATTTCCCTGCCACCCATTGCCGTTCGCAGTCACCCACCCAGGGAAGGGAAACTGTGAGATTAGTTTTAAAATCCCGCAGTTTCCCTTCCCTGGGTGGGTGACTGCGAACGGCAATGGGTGGCAAGCAGGGGAATGAGTTGAAGGTCACTGGGGGCTTGGGCACAATATATTTGGGTACTTGTGGATAAGGGGTCACGTAGGGTGGGGCCAAGCAGAGGTCTTGTCTATGAAGTGGGGAACAGATCATGCCATGTCAAAACCCAGTTTCAGAGACAGACCAGGGCTGGGGCTGCTTGGCAGATTGATTTCAAGATGATGTTTTGCTTATGTCTACAAGAAAAGGAAGAAAAAGGAGTGGTAAGGCCATTGCTTAGAGAAAACAGAAAAATGCTAACTGAAGATAGAGAAAAGGCAGAACTACTCAATGCCTTCTTACATTCAGTCTTTACTCAAAGGGTAAACAGTGCTCAACCTGAGAAAAAGAGACCAGATGGAGCAGTAGGGAAAATGCAGAATGGAATAGATAAAGTGGTAGTAAGAAACATCTGGCCAATCAAAATGAATTGAAATCTCCAGGTGAACTGCATCCAAGGGTATTAAAAGAACTGGGATAAAAAGTCTGAGAACCACTATCAATAATGTTTGAGAATTCCTGGAGAACAGGTATGTCATTCCCATCTTCAAAAAAGTGGAACAAGCAAACAAACAAAAGGGAATCAGTTATCACTCAGATTGATATCAGTACCTGGAAAGAATCTAGAGCAAATTATTACAGAAAAAGTCTATAAACATTTAGAAAGAAACTAAAAGTTAACATGGATTCCCCCAGAACAAGTTATGTCAGACTAATCTTATCTTGTTTATAAAATAGAATCACAGCCATGGTAGATAACTGTTGTGGATACAACATATCTTGATTTCAGAAAGGCCTTTGCCAAGGTAATCCATTATATTCCTACAGATAAATTAGTAAAATATGGATTAGGCAAGGCTAAGTATATCAGTCATTGGCTGAGTGATGAAACCCAAAGTATGCTCACCAATGATTCCACCATCATGCACAGGGGTCTGTCCTGGGTCCGGTGCTATTCAACATCTTTATCTATGATTTAAATGATAGTATAGATTAGATATGAGCAAACTCCAGTCCTCCAGTTGTTTTGGACTTCAACTCCCACAATTCCTAACAGCAGGTGGTATAGATGCTTATCAAATTTAGAGATGAAATCAAAGTACGATTGATCTCTAATATCGTAGGGACAGGATACTTTATTTTACAGAGTCCATTTTATAAATCATGTACCACTTTACAATTTCTGCCATATCTAATTTTGAGTTCTTAAGCTGCTGTATAACTAAGTACATTGCTATTTTCTAAATGTTGTGACATTCTGGTTGTTCTTTTAAAAGTTTATTTCAATAGTTTATTGAAATAAAGCTCTTTAGAAACAGTAGTGGTGATCAAAACATGCAGATGATAAATTAATTTAAACAGACCATCCAAAAATCCAATTCACAATGGAAAAAGAAAATGAAGGAAGACTGCATTTTCTAGATGTCCTAGTCATCCGCAAACCAGATCAACAATTGGGTCACACCGTCTACAGAAAACCCACACACACAGATAGATATCTACTAGGCCTGTTTGATCAAGAAAAAATTTGTTTCTAAAATCGATTTGTAATTGGGGTGTTTTTTTGTTTCGATATTTAAAATATTTACAAAACTTTCCAAAAAAAAGTTTTGTTATTTACGAAATTTTGTAAATATTAACGAATTTTTAGAATATTTTTTGTATTTTTTAAGAATAATATTAAAATAATATTAAAAATATTTTAAAATGGAAAATTAACCAAAAAATGGCCCAAATGTTGACCAAACACAGGCAGGAGACAGCAAATGAGAGAAAACACCAACAGAAGAGTCTTTTCTTTTTTAGAATATTTTTTAAGAATAATATTAAAATAATATTAAAAAATAATATTAAAATAATATTAAAAAATATTTTAAAATGGAAAATTAACCAAAAAATGGCCCAAATGTTGACCAAACACAGGCAGGAGACAGCAAATGAGAGAAAACACCAACAGAAGAGTCTTTTCTTTTTTAGAATATTTTTAAAGAATAATATTAAAATAATATTAAAATAATATTAAAAAATAATATTAAAATAATATTAAAAATATTTTTAAATGGAAAATTAACCAAAAAATGGCCCAAATGTGGACCAAACACAGGCGGGAGACAGCAAATGAAGCAAGCAGCACTCACAGCAGCAAGGAATGAATCCAATCCAGTTGCTAGCCATTAGCCAAGCCAACCAATGCAAACTCCCTCGCCCTCTGCAGCAATGAGCTACGGCCGCGCGGAGCCGCTTTGAAAGGGCTCGCCGGCCAATCAAAAACAAACAGCCACGGACCCACAGTGCACTGCTTGGGAGCGCCTGATTGGCTCCCAGGCACCAGCACTCCAGCAGCCTCCACCCCATTAACGAAACGAGCGGAAGCTCGTTAAATCTATGGGGGCTGCCGGTTCGATATTTTAAAACCCTTCCGGGTTTGGAAAACTGTTTTGATATCGCTTCAAAAATGCCAAAAATAACGAATTAATAACGAATTAACGAATTAACGAACGAAACCGGATAGGCCTAATATCTACATCAAAACTCCAATCATCACCCAAGTCAAAAAAGAAGCACCATTAAAGCCTTGGCAGACCGTGCAAAAAGAATCTGCGAACCCCACCTCCTCCAAGATGAACTGAACCACCTCAACTGGGCTCTCCAGGCCAATGGATACTCCACCTCAGACATCAGAAGAGCTGCAAGACCAAGAACAAGCCACGAGAGTAAAAGATGAAGATCCACCCAGAGGAAAAGTGTTCCTGCCATACATCAAGGGAACCACTGACCGCATAGGGAAGCTGATGAGGAAACACAACATACAAACAATCTACAGACCCACCAAGAAAATCCAACAAATGCTACGTTCAGCAAAGGACAAGAGGGATCCTCTCACCTCTGCAGGAGTCTACCGTATACCATGCAGCTGTGGACAAGTCTACATAGGGACCACCAAACGCAGCATTGCCCAAACACGAATCAAGGAACATGAAAGGCACTGCAGACTACTTCAACCAGAGAAGTCAGCCATAGCAGAGCACCTGATGAACCAGCCTGGACACAGCATATTATTTGAGAACACAGAAATGCTGGACCACTCCAACACCATGTCAGACTACACAGAGAAGCCATTGAAATCCGAACAGAAAGGAGGAGACCATGAAAATGAACAAAATCTGGCTACCAGTATTAAAAAACTCTAAAATTACAACAGCAAAACAGCAGAGAGGAAACAACCAGGCACATCTTAACACCTCTCAACAGAACATTTTCCCAGGCTCAGCCAGGCCTTCAAATGCTAATGAAGGTGGTCAGCTGAAACATTCACACCTAGCTTCAGCAGAGAGCTCTTTGCCCCACCCCAGTCATTCCACAGATATATAAACCCATTTTCCTATTTCCAACAGACCTCACTACCTCTGAGGATGCTTGCCATAGATGCAGGCGAAACATCAGGAGAAATGCCTCTAGAACATGGCCCTATAGCCCGAAAAAACCTACAAGAACCTAGTGATTCCAGCCATGAAAGCCTTCGACAATACATTAGCATTTTGTTTGGGGAAAACCTTCTCCACTGCAAGAATCTCCTGTGACCTCCTAAGGCAGTGGTTCTCAACCTGTGGGTCCCCAGATGTTTTGGCCTTCAACACTGGTAAACTGGCTGGGATTTCTGGGAGTTGTAGGCCACAACCCCTGGGGACCCATAGTTTGAGAACCACTGTCCTAAGGTAACCTTGAATACAGGAGGGTAACCAGTGTCCTTAAAGTGTGGCTCACATGTCAGTTTAATTCTTTTTCAGCAATTTAATTTTTTGTTTGGGGCAATTTCACTCAAATGAAATGGAATCGCTGACTTGGAATGCTCATAGATTACATTCATTTAGTTGTGGTTATCTGATCAAGAATTTAAGTGCATCATCTAATGCACAGCTAAGCATCTGAAAATGCAAACACAGCTTTTTATCATCTGAATGCAAGATGACACAAAAAAAGATTAAAAGTGCTTAACTCTCTTAAACATATATGAGTAGCAAAAGATTCGTGCTCAAGTGGGTGGAGTAGTGGATGTTGTGGAAGACGCTTAATAATTCATGCAACAACACCTCTGTTGATTTAATCTGCAAAACTGGATAGCATTCTCTAGAATTTCAAAATTGTTTAATAGCTTGTTTTCCTTTTTAAGTCTGGCTTCAAGTTACATTTATTATTCCTTTCAAAAAGAATTGCTGCTGCATTTTTGGAAGCAAAGAATCACCTTACAACAAAGAATTCCCCTAGGCAGGAACAGGGCACACCTAAAAACTGTCAGGCCATCAAATGCTAATCAAGGTGACCAATTGAAACATTCACACCTAGCTCTAACAGACAAGAATTCTTTCTTCCACCCTGGACTTTCCACAGATATATAAACCCAATTTTCCTAGTTTCCAACAGACCTCAAACAAACCTCTGAGGATGCCTGTCATAGATGCAGGCAAAACATGAGGAGATAATTGCTTGCCACAGATGCAGATGAAACGTCAGGAGAGAATGCTTCTAGAACATGGCCATACAGCCCGAAAAACCTACAACAACTCCGTGATTCCATCCATGAAAGCCTTCGATAATACAGGGAGGGGATAGCTTGAAGGCAACTGAGCTGGAGGAGGAGCCACATTGCCAAGAGGCTCACTTTAATAAGTGTGCATAGTGCTGAGCTCCCTGTTAAGAGGGATCTCAGCCAAGATGCCAAGCAAGATTACAGGAGCACCTGCTGCCACAACTACTCTGCCTGGTAAATTGGGCAGGGAATTTAGTATACTAACTCCTAAATGTTTCCATAATAATTGCTTCTACCATGTTTTGAAGCAACTGGAGGTTCTGAACCTTGTTCAGCGGTAGCCCAATGAACAATGCATTGTGGAAATCCAACCTTAAAATGACCAGCACATGCACTAATATCTTTCTTTACCCTCATAGATGCTTTTGAACTGTGGTGCTGGAGGAAAGTTCTGAGAGTGCCTTGGACTGTGAGAAGATCCAACCAGTCCATACATCAGGAAATAAAGCCCGACTGCTCATTGGAGGGAAGGATAGTAGAGGTCAAGATGAACTACTTTGGCCACATATTGAGAAGAAAGGAAAGCTTTGAGAAGATAATTATGCTGGGGAAAATGGAAGGAAAAATGAAGAGGGGCTGACCAAGGGCAAAATGGATGGATGGGATCCTTGAAGTGACTGGATTGACCTTGAAGGAACTGGGGGTGCTGACGGTCTACAGGGAGCTCTGGTGTGGAGTGGTCCATGAGGTCACGAAGAGTTGGAAATGACTGAACAAATGAACAACAACCCTCATAGGATACGCAGCTGACATATCAGCCAAAATTGATAATAAGCATTCCTGATCTTCACATCTATCTTAGCTGATATTGAGAGAGATGGATCCAGTAGCATTCTCAAATTGAAAACACAGTCTTTCAGGGGGAATGTAACCACATCCAGGGCTGTTGACACTTCTAGCCCTTAATGGCAAGTGCCTCTGACTTATCTTCATTCTGTTTCAATTTCTTCATCCATCTCTTTATCTCCTTCAGGCATTCATTTAGAATGCTATCCTTACATAACATGGTTTTTGAAGGTAGGGAGAAATATATTGTCATCAACGTACTGATGGTACCCCGCCTTATACCTCCAGCTGATCTCTCCCAGTGGTTTCATGTCAATATTAAAAAGCATGGAAAGCCACATATCAGCTCCTTTTTTAAGGAGCAGCTGTCTCCAAGCTCCATTATCTGTAGCCTGTCTGAGCGGTATGGCTGCAACTACTGTGACTCCGATTTCCAGGGGAACAGGAACATGATTTTCAGGACAATAAGACTCTGACTGTAAATAGAAGGTCAGCTGCTGTCCTCTCCTTTTTGCCTTGTATTTTATTCATGTTGTATTTTGAAATGGTCATATGACTAGTCAAATAAATAAATAAATTATTATTATTACTGTGACTCCGGTTTCAGGGGAACAGGAACACGTGGCGAAGGAACTATATCCACCAGGCAAGGAATGGGATGAGCAGTCTTCTTTCTCCTGTTGGCCATAGTCTCTTGCCCACATGGTATCTCCCTTGCTTTCGCAAGCAAAACATAGACTTACAGCACACAGGAAGAAGAAGAACAAGCATATGGCACAGGAGGAGGAGAAATCAGAACCAGTGGTTCTGGTTCTTCTTCCAGTTTGTTATGTTTTTTTAGTGGGCCAAATTCTTGCTACCACATCATTTTATGTGTCCCACAAGGCTTTTGATGGAGCCCCCGGTGGCGCAATGGGTTAAACCCTTGTGCTGGCAGGACTGAAGACTGACAGGTCACAGGTTCAAATCCGGGGAGAGCGCAAATGAGCTCCCTCTATCAGCTCAAGCTCCTCATGCGGGGACATGAGAGAAGCCTCCCACAAGGATGGTAACACATCAAAACATCCAGTGTCCCCTGGGCAATGTCCTTGCAGAAGGCCAATTCTCTCACACCAGAAGTGACTTGCAGTTTCTCGTCGCTTCTGAAATGACAAAAACAAAAACTCCAAGGTTTTTAATGCCAGGGCAACATAGTTACATTTAAACCATTGGTCCTTTGAAGTCAACCATAAGGCTGATGTGGCCCTCTGTTAAAATGAGTTTGACTCCCTGCCTTATAGTATCTTCCTTCCTTTGCCTGGGTGGAAAAGAGATTTGTGCCATTCAGGAAAAGGAAAAGGAACTGGGTTCTGCAGGCAAAAGGAAGTGGTGTGTGGGTTGGTCCTGATTCCTCTCTTTGGGACTCCTATTTCCCAGCCCATTTTTACTGAGTCACCCCCCCCCCCCGAGATTTGGGATCTTGTTCACTGTATTTTATGCTATGTTTTATTCTGTGTTGGCACTGAATAGTGCCGGTTGGTAGCTGTCCTGCGTCCCTGTTCAGTGGTCGAGAAGGACAGGATACAGGATTCTGCTTTGTCCTCCAGATGTGTGGGACTTCAGCTCCAGAATCTCTCCAAGAGACCATCCTGGAAGCATTTAGTCACATGCTCAAGGGAGGAAGCACTGATGAGTACCAGAGAACTGTGAATTCTAAATGTTGGATGTATTGTCAAAGGCTTTCATGGCCGGAATCACTGGGTTGTTGCGAATTTTCTGGGCTGTATGCCCATGTTCCAGAAGCATTCTCTCCTGATGTTTCACCCACATCTATGGCAGGCATCCTCAGAGGTTGTGAGGTCTGTTGGAAACTAGGAAATGGGTTTTTATATATCTGTGGAATGTCCAGGTTGGGAGAAAATGTTGGTCTTGCAGGAGTTTGGGACTTTGGCTGGCAGGATTCCCAGCTATTGGCCAAGTTGGCTGGGGCTTCTGGGACCAAAGTTTGGCGGCGAGAGAGAAAAGCAGAGAGAAAGAGGGCTCATGTCCTTCGCATCCCTGTCTGTCTGTCCTGGTCTCCTTTCCCAGCAGGGCGGGTGGGGGAGCTTTTGTCTCCCGCCTTCCTCCCTGGGGCAAGAGGCGGGGACCTGTCAGTGTGCCTTGGGTACCAGCTCTTGGGAGAGCCTTTCTTCCTCCCACGGCTCTTCCTTCCCATCCTTCGGAGAAGCGCCTTCCTTTCCTGTCTCCTTCACTTCCAGCCTCGCAACATGGAATGCTATCGGGACTATGCCAAGGAGCAGCTGAAGCATTGGCAAGAGCAGTGCGGCCAGCAGGTACCCAGAAATCCCCCTCACCCCCTCCCAGGAATCCATTGATATGCTTGCCCGGATCGCCCTCCTGGCTTGCCTTGGGACCGACTGGCAATGCTTTGGAAGGAAGCCCTTGGGGTGGGCGAGACCATCGCTCCGCTGAAAGAAGGGGGGGGGGGGGGGGGGTGAAGGGAGGGGAGGGGAACGTCCCAGAAGAAGCCTGAGTAGGACCAAGCGAGAGTGTTATTAAACGATGCTGTAGTTGGAATGGAACTCAGGGCCCTTCCACACAGTCCTATATCCCATTATCAAGGCAAAAAATCCCACATTGTCTGCTTTGTACTAGAATATATGGCAGTGTAGACTCAGATAACCCATTTCAAAGCAGATATTGTGGGATTTTCTGCCTTGATATTCTAGGATAAGGGTCTGTGTGGAAGGGCCCTCAGATAAACTACAATTCACATGAAGAAAAAAGTGGGTTGATAGCAGTGACTGCAATAATGAGGGTTTATTCAAGTAATGGACGAAAGAAAAAGACCACTGAAGTTCTTTCACAACTGTAGGTACTTGGTTAAGTCACATACTCTCAGCCTCAGATGAAGACAAATGTACAACAGTGAAAAAAAACAGTATTAGAAACAAGCTGGAAGCTTCTGTCCTTGGCTTTCCTTTTCTCTTGTCAGTCTCAAAGTCTTTAGAATCATGGAATCATAGAGATGGAAGAGACCTCATGGGCCATCCAGTCCAACCCCATTCTACCAAGAAGCAGGAATACTGCATTCAAAGCACCCCTGACAGATGGCCATCCAGCCTCTGTTTAAAAGCCTCCAAAGAAGGAGCCTCCACCACACTCCGGGGCAGAGAGTTCCACTGCTGAATGGCTCTCACAGTCAGGAAGTTCTTCCTCATGTTCAGATGGAATCTCCTTTCTTGTAGTTTGAAGCCATTGTTCCATGTCCTAGTCTCCAGGGAAACAGAAAACAAGCTTGCTCCGTCATCCCTGTGACTTCCCTTTGGACAGATTTTTTTCACAGATGTGCCTTTGTTTCTTCCATATATATATATATATATATATATATATATATATATATGCTGTATTTTATGTATTTTATGTTTATGTTTTATGTTCAAGTTCAGACTAGTGCACTTTATCTGATAAAGCAGCACCAATGTTTTCTCACCCAAAATAACAAAGATTTGTGTTACTTATCATACATATTTCTAGCCTTTAAAATCAGACTTGAAGATTTCTGCTTAAAATGCCACTTATGTACTAGCATAGGTAAAGGTAAAGGTTTCTCCTTGACATGAAGTCTAGTTGCATCCAACTCTGGGGGTGTGTGTGTGTGTGCTCATCTCCATTTCTAAGCTGAAGAGCTTAGATGCCTCCAAGGTCATGTGGGCGGCATGACTGCATGGAGCACTGTTACCTTTCCACCAAAGCAATACATATTGATTTGCTCACATTTGCATGTTTTCGAACTGCTAGATTGGCAGAAGCTGGAGCTAACAGCAGGAGCTCACCCCTCTCCCCTTTCGGTCAGCAAGTTCAGCAGCTCAGTGGTTTAACCCGCTGCGCCACCAAGAGCTTCATGTACTAGCATATTGAAATTAAATAAGTGATGAGGTAATCATATCTGCACACATTTGGATAAGAATGGAGCTTTTGTGACCCAGTTATGCCTTGGGGTTTGGGTCCATGGGTACCAGAATTAGTGGATGCTCAAATCTCATTACATACAAAGTCTGTAAGGCACATTATCATAATATTGTGTCACCTTATATAAAATGCAAAATCAGTGTAGATCAGCCCTCAATCTGATTGCTTTCATGAAGCCACTAAAATATAGACAATTATGTATCCTTTCCATTGTTGTCATTTTGATTGCTTTCCCTTGTGAAATCTAGGAGCCGCCTGCCTTGTCCAGGGCAGCAGGAATCCCAGTGGGGAACCATCGGAATGTCATGACGGTGGGTCCACGAGGTCCCCTCTTGGTTCAGGATGCAGTTTTCGCTGAAGAGATTACACATTTTGACCAAGAGAGGATTCCTGAAAGAGTTGTTCATGCCAAAGGAGCAGGTGAGTATTAGAGACAATGTAGTGTATTTCTTGTAAAACAGAGCCTCAAATATTGTAAGCTGATTACTGGACAGTGTGATTTTGAATTCAGAAGGAATAAGAAAATATAAAGTATTTATCGAATTGCTGTCTCCCACAGTCTGTAACAAGACTTTGAGTTGGATCAAACAAAGCATTTTATGACTTCTTCCCATACTTGCTGACCTACTTTTAGGAATCATGATATCATCTGTGGAATCCCTTTGTTGTTTTAATTCTGTCCTATTTCACTTTACTTTCCCAACATATTCTAACCAGCTTCAACTTTTCCTTGCAAATCATTTTCTCCCTAATTTATTGTCTGAATCTTTGTCCTTTTACCTTTTTGATATTTTAATTCAGGATTTTTTGATTAAAGAAAATCCACCTGACATTGCTTTGCACATTATTACTAGCATACATGAGTCTTGGGGTTGTTTCACCCTAAGTCTGAAACAACCCATGCTTAAATTTTGTGAAAACCCACAGTGTAGACAGGAACCAAAGAATTGTGAATTTAACTTAGGGCCCAGCTACGCTCACCTGTTATCCTAAAAGGAGGCAAGGGAATCAGCTTTGTATCAGCTAAATCAGTGGTTCCCAATCTGTGGTTCATGAACCACCAGTGGCCTGCAAGAACAAAAATATGGTCCGCAGCCTCACCGTTACTACACCGTTGCCTCAAATGAGAGTGACTTGTCTTGTGAAACCCTCTAATAGTGCCGAGGCAATGGTGATGTCGGGAGGGGAGAAGCTGACTACCCACGAAAGATTACTACTACCACATAAGCTCTAGATCAGGGGTTCTCTAACTAAGGCCTGCGGGCCAGATGCGGCCCTCAAAGGTCATTTTCTCGGCCCCTGATCTAAACTTTAGACTCAGGGTCACCCTACGTCTGAAACAAGTCACACATCAACAACAACAGTCTGAATTAACCTGATCAGCCAAAAGCAGGCCCACCATTCCCATTGAAATACTGGTAAGTTTATGCTGGTTAAAATTGTTCATCATTTTAAATACTGTACTGTTCTTTTATGTTTTTTTTTTTGCAGTACAAATAATATATCTGCAGTGTGCATAGGAATTTGTCCATGTTTTTCTCAAAATGTAGTCGCCCACCCCCCAGCAGTCTTAGTGACAGTGAACGGCCCTCTGCTTTTAAAATTTGAGGGCCCCTGCTCTAGATTATTAAATATGGTTTTCTGTGGGTTAGCAGATGGCGACTACTGGATGACATACGTTCTGTATCAGAAACTAGAGCTGATGTGGTCTATCCAATGCAATTTTCTGAATCAGAACCACAAATAACCAAACTGAGTCTGAAGTTGACCAAAAACCCAATTCGTAATCCTTTTGGTACCAATGTTGGAGATTGGTCCCTGGTCAAAGTGATCCCTGGTCAAAAAAGGTTGGGAACCACTGAGCTAAATGATGCATGGAGCTGATTTGAGTTAATGTTGCCTTGGACCATATTAACAAGTCATGGGTGGGTCCAAATTTTCCCTGAGAATCTGGAGCAAGCCCAGACTTTGGTTCTATGTAAGATGTTCAATGGGTTCTGAGGCAAAACCACTCGACACTATATATACAGCATTCCATATTCCCTGGACTTGGGTGGCTGGGACATTCTCACACACACACACACACACACACACACACACACACACACTCACATACACAATTTGACACACATTGCTCCCCCTCCCATTCTAAATCAGTATGTATTAGAAAAGAGCATTTTCTTTTGTTCCTTTACGTGTGCCATATGTATGATCTGTGTCAGTTACTTTATTTGATATTATTTTCTTAAAGTTCCTGATCTCTTTCTACAGTAAAGTAACATTTTTAAAATAATTCCAGGTGCTTTTGGCTATTTTGAAGTGACTCATGATATCACCCAGTATTGCAAAGCAACCCTATTTGAGCACATTGGTAAAAGAACGCCCATTGCCATTCGACTTTCTGCTGTTGGTAAGGCTTTTACATATCTTGGTTTGTATTGTAATTGTGTTTTATTTTATGTGTCATCCCCTGATACTTTGATCAATGATCTTCACTGATCTCATCAGTGAGAAAGTCCTTGATTCCTTCTGGTTTTCCAAAATACCATTAAACAAACTAGAGTAGGGAAGTGTTTGTTAGCAATATCGTAAATCCACCCTGTACTAACAGAAACCCTAGTTTCCTATCAGTTGTTAATGTTACCAAATGCTACAGCAAGAACTAAGACAGAAAATGTATTTTGATTTAGAATAATTGTACTTAATTTACTTAATTATATTGACAGAGAAATGGTGACCATTTATTCACTCTCCTTCTTAAGTTATTGTGAGAAACATCTTGCCCCTATCCCATAACAGTATAAATATATTTATATCTGAGGTCTTAATACCACTTGCTACTGCCTCTGAAGAAGTCAGTATATATCCATGAAATCATACGGATATAAAAAAAAACATTTCATTTTAGCGGGGCTCCCACATTTTTCTCTCCTCCTTCTTTTCTCAATTGTATAGTCAAAAATGGTTCATAACACTGAATAGCGATTGTTAAGACTGTTTATATTAGGTGATGGCTTGGAATGCAAGAAATTTGTGGAAAAAACTTTTCATAAATTTGTTCCCAAGGTAACTGCTAGACATCTACTTAGAACTTTAATAGTATCAGTAAAAAACCCTATATATAGAATGCATAACTTTTTAGAGTAAAATCTAGTAAAACTGGGATGAAAGTTGGAGAATAATTTCTTTTGAAAATATTTGTTGGGACTGACTGCAATTTCAATTGTCGTCTATTGGTTAACCTTTTTTTTATAGTTGGTGAATCGGGTTCAGCGGACACAGTTCAGGAACCTCGAGGCTTTGCAGTGAAGTTCTATACAGAAGAGGGCAACTGGGACTTTGTAGGGAACAACACTCCCATCTTCTTTATTAGAGATCCAATGCTGGTATGTTAGATCATGATGTACATTTCTTTGGGCCATGAGTTATGACTTAAAGCAAGGAATTTATGAATTAGAACTGAACTCCAGGCTTTCTTCTTAAAACGTCCTCATTGAATGCTAATACAATACTTTGTGGGCTTTGTCTGTTAGCTGGGCTTCCTTTTCCAAGCTCCAGAATTACATCTGTGTATGGATTGGTGGCAAGGACCTATGCACACAAAATAATATAGAACACTAACAAGCACACAAGCAATAATCAACTCAATTTATATTAACAATGAGCCTTAATCCTATAAACTCTCTCAAATGACTCTGGGTATGGGAAGTTTTATCCAAGCCCACCTTATGTTGTTTACTCTACCATGCTCATGTAAAATGTGAAATGACTGTTGGCCAAGCTCTTGTTTACTGAGCTCTATGAATTGAGGCCATTGGTATACAGAGAGTTAGTGGCTCATACTAAAGGATAAACCAAAGGAATATGACAATAAAAGAATGATACTGGATTGAATAGTGCTCCCCAATGGCACACATTTGGTGGGTCAAAGTTAGTTTTGATTTACAAATACATAGAAAAGGATCTGTAGTACATCTAACTCTAATATAAATACACAGTAATTTAAATATATCTTTGTTTTTTTAGTTTACATCCTTGATCCATAGTCAAAAGAGGAATCCACAGACCCATCTGAGAGATGCAAACATGTCATGGGACTTCTTCAGTCTTCGCCGTGAGTCTCTGCACCAGGTTGGATCTAACTTTTCACTCCTAAATACAAATTACAATGTTTTCAAAACCTACAGTTTATTACGTATTATATGGGAGCTTGGGAAAAATCTGGAGGGAGAATTTCATAGTCTAGGCTGCTCCCATCCACATATTTGGATTAATGTAAGGTATGGGCCTGTGGAGATTCATTCCTGGGACCATGCTCCATGATCCCGGTAGTCAATTCTCATTGCCATCTCGATTCCATGGGCTCTCAGAACCTGAAAGGGCAGAATGGCACCCCCACTCTCCACTACCAGCCCCGTTTTGTTCCAAAAATTTACTGGAGGGGGCTGGATTTGTGCTTTCTCTTTCTAACCCCCCACCATTCGCACCTCCCTATGTGTCATTTGGATGCATCAGAAACTGTCTTTGAGGGGCCTGTGCATGCAGCCAGGCCCCTCTGGCAGGTTTTTGAGCAAAACAGGAGGTTTGGGGGGACTGGTTGACCTGGGAGGGCATGTAGCCGCTGCCTCAAGGAAAATGTGAAGTTTGGGGACGGTGTGGGAACTAAATCCTGGGATTTAGAGGCTCTTCCTGCCTCTGTTTAAAAGCTTCCAAAGAAGGAGCCTCCACCATGCTTCAGGACAGAGAATTCCACTGCTGAACAGCTCTCACAGTTGTTTCTGATCCCAGATTAGCTGCTTTGATAATTTGAATTAAATGGTAGTGTAGATGGGGTCTTAGCTAAAGTCCTTCTCCTTTCCTTAAAACTTAGGTAGGATCTACACTGCCGTATTATCCAGATTATCAAAACAGATAATCCACATGATCTGCTTTGAACTGGATTATATGAGTCTGCACTGCCATAAATCCAGGTCAAATCAGATAATCTGTAATCCACCCTTGGGGCCCTTCCACACAGCACAAAAGAAATGGGAGAGAACGGCTTAAAAGGGTGGTGGTAGTGGTTAGGTGACTTTACTGATAAGTCTGTGCTGAATTGGAGCAACACAGCCAAAACATGGGATAAAGAAGTCCCCTTTTATCCCAGTTCTGACTGGGTAATGTGTATTTTTATGGCTGTGTATCCCTGTAATCATGCAAAATGAGATTTTTTTTTAAAAAAAACCCTTTGTTATGCACTGATCTTTATATGCGCACATGGGAATCTCTTCATATTTTATATTAAGGTATTTACATGTGTGCGTATGAGGATCAGTGAATTACAATTTTTTTTAAAGAAATCCTTCCAATGGATGCCCCCCCCCCCCCGTCCACCCTCCATTTTATTCTAAGGCAAAAAAGGGCTGTGAGGATGGCGGAGGAAGACAGGCTAGGATTGCAGGTTTGTGTGGGGGTCTGCAGGCAGGTCCCGGGTTTGTTTATCCCTCTTTGAAAATCCACATTTTGGCACTGTCTGGAAAAGCCCTAGGTATCACTAGCTTGTGTGGAGAGGCCTGAGTACTTGCATTCTGCACTAACAGCAATGGAAACATCCCAGGGTATTCCAGGTTCATACTTTGTCGAGACACTAGAGCTCTTTGGGTGAGAATTCTAAATGCCCCTCCATTAATTGTAAATTCCAGGTTTCTATAAGATGGAGCCATGACAGTTAAAGCAGAACTGTAATGCCATAATTGTGTGATATAGCTTTTGAGCTACATATAATCTGGGGATATGCAAATGTTGAAGTTCTTCATGTGCATTTGACTATTGGGTATTGTGTAAATGGCTGTTCCCATTTGAACAGTTTATTGGATGCCATGCCCCTGCATCCAGAACATGCTGTCTAAGAATAAAATATACTTGGAAGCACATCCTAGTTGTAGAAAAAATGAAGTCTGTCACAGTATTCCTTGGAACGGCAGTCTGAATCATCAGTTTTGCAACATTCCATAATTGCTAAAGTGACAATAAATGATTATAAGGAACAGGACCATCCCAGCAGCAAGCATTAAGGATCTAACTACCTGGCTAGCATTGAGTAATTTACAGCCAGGGTTGGATAGCTGAAAAAGTAATTTAAAAGCACAAGCTTCTCTGTAAGTGTGGTAGGAGGAGTTGTCAGAGTGTTGAGCTATTGGAGATGGAGATTCCAAGTTTGAAGGATTAATGAAGAAAATCAGAGAGAAACTAATACTATGAAGAAGCTATGAATTGACTGGGAGTGTTGGAAAGAGGGGCTGAAGAAGAGTCAAGAACATCTGCCAGATATATTTAAATACGGCTGTATAATCCATATGGTTTTTTTTCTTTATACAAGTTGTGCTTGTCTGCTCCGGAATGGGAAGTGTTTCTGCTGACGAAGGTGGCTGGTTTGTTGTTGAACAAAGAAACCCAGCATTTTGCTGTGACATGAATACACTATGTAACACAATTTTTGTTACTGGGTTATAAATGTGAAAAAACACGGAAAAAGCTTATAGCAACATGCAGCACATTTTGCTATAGTTTTTCAATGACTGTCTCATAGAGTTTCAATGAAATCAACATAGGCCCCTTCTACACTGTCATATAAAACCCATATTATCTGCTTTAAAGTGGATCATATGGCAGTATTTAATCCAGTTCAAATCAGATAATGTGGATTATCTACTTTGACAATCTAGATTATATGATGGCGTAGAAGGGGCTATAGTTTGTGGCAGCCGCAAAAATGAAGTTTCAGGAGTATAACAATTGCTTTATCAAAGGCTTTTATGGCTGAAATCACTGGAGTGTTGTATGGTTTCTGGACTATATGGCTGTGCTCTAGCTGCATTTTCTCTTATGTTTCACATGCATCTGTGGCTGGCATCTTCAGAGGATCCTCTAAAGATGCCAGCCACAGATGTAGGTGAAATGTCAGGAGAAAATGCAGCTAGAACATGACCATACAGCCCGAAAACCACACAACACTCCAGTATAACTACTTTCAAAGTAAATTCTGCACACGTAAATAGAAAACACTTTCAAATCAGGAACAGTTTTTTTTCAAATTTTGTTACATAGTCCGTTAGCTATCAATTACTAATCACTGAAGAGCTTCCTGAAGGAAAGAAATAGTTCTTGTGAATGACACAAACATTTCACTGGTTCCTGTTATAAGGGGGGGGGGGGGATTAACTGTTGTCCCCCATACCAGTTACCTTTAAGAGTACTGGTCTATCATACCTAAAAATCTAGCTTTGATTTTTTTATGAAACATGACCTGCATGAAAGATTTTAATAAAGGTTCCTGTTGTTGTTGTTGCTTTATAGGTATCATTTATGTTCAGTGATCGTGGCATTCCAGATGGATTTCGTCATATGCATGGCTTTGGATCAAATACTTTCAAGCTAGTGAATGCCTGTGGAAACGCAGTGTACTGCAAATTCCACGCAAAGGTAAGCACTGCCGTTTTTCTGTTTAGAAGTTCATCTTGAAGAATATGCTATTTAGGAAGTACATTTAGATTTAAAATACATTCTTAGTTGATTTTGGCAATGTGGTGTGATTTTTTTGCCATTTGTTCTTGTAGACTGATATAGTTTTATAAAGTAAATATGTTGTTTTTGTCTTTATTGTTTTCCAGCTCAATATACCATATTTTATTTTTGTAATATTCTTTTTCTGTTTTTATATCTATATTTACATTTCTATCTATTTACAGTATATAAAATTCAAAAAGGTTATTGCATAAGTTTTCATAGGGTTTGTCTACCTCCAAAATAATAATAAAATCTGTATCAGGACTGTACGAAAACATGACATATGGCCATTTCAGTATTGCAAATCCTTTAATTTGTTTTTTAAAAATGCACTTTTAAAAAAATGCAGTTTCTTGGGAAAACTGTTGCTTTTCCAGTGGGTCTATCTTGATTAGAGTTCCAGTGGAGGGCATGGAGTGGGAAAGCGAGACAGACCGCTGGGTAGCAAATGTTTTAAGACTGTGTAGATCACACCCTCACCTTTGAGGTGGCGAAATAAACTGTGTCTTTCTATCTGGAGACATCGCAACACTGCCATTATCCCTGGCAGTGCTGTACTTTCAAAGCAGTTTGTTTGTTCTCTGCATCATTGCTAAAAGATTTTCTGAATATCACCTAGTGGATGTTTTAGAAATTTACACAAAGCTTTTGTGCAGTGTTTAGAGTGGACTCTGCAGAAGATGATTCAGATGGACGTCATAGAAAGGGAAATCACACTGTTTAGCAAGCCTTGCAAATGTTGATTTCTTATCAGTAAATGTTTGATTTTTTAATATCTATTTTATATATATACCTAGAGTGAATAGGTAAGCATAAGCAGCCCTGTTGTAGACAAGTGCAGATACAGTCTACTTTATCAGATTTCTTGGAATATGGCTGTTGTAGTTGTAGTTGTTATTTTTGTGTTTGTAGGATGTTCATATGCTACACACATTAGCTCAGAGCTCACTGAATAATAATTTGGACTGATTAAGTTTTGCCCAAAATCTTTAATGATAGAAATTGCCCAAGACATTTCTGGTTTTGGAACAAAACAGTTATCCCTCCACATTCACTGGGTTTAGGGCCACAGGGAATGCATTAATGTGAAAAAATGAAAATAAAAATGTACTAGTTCTTCCAGCATGTGTCTCTGGTCAACTTCCAATGGAGTGCATTGGAGGATTGAGGAATTCCTAAATAATATATTTTTATCCAGTCTGTGAATAGCCAAATCTGCCAGCCTAACCAAATTTGGTAGGCTGACTACTAAAGTATTAGTTGGGTGCTTATACACTAATAATTTGGATATAAAACCTTTTGTTCCAAATCTTTAATGATGGTAATTCAAACATCCTGGCTTTGTCGCAATAGTTTTTCCTGTGGCATTGCTGACTTGCTGTTTTGTGGGCTTTTGAAAATATTAATATAAAATATAAAATATTTACGTCCAGTGGAAGCCAGGGACCCTGGAAGTGGGGTGGCCTGAAGTACAGTGGGGAAGGCCTGCCTCTCTGGCCTGCTGCTGCCTGTGTGGCTCCGGAGGCTCTGCAGAGGTCTGCGGAGGCCAGGCAGGCAGGCAGGCAGGCGCTCTTGGGATGGGCAAGGAGACGGGTAAGGAAGCGTGGATTAGAAAATAATATATAAAATAATGCATAAATATTAAAATTAATATGGTGTCCCTACTTTGTGGATTTTCACTTATTGCGGGGGGTCCTGGAATAGAACCCCCACAATAAGTGAGGGAACACTGTAGTTCCTCTAAATGGTCCCATACTATTAATTATTCATTTCTATTAATGTTTTTGGACTTTGGAACCTTTATGTTTCTTTATGTAGTACCACACTACTGTTGAATTTGTTAAAATTTGCAAGACAATAAGTCCCCTACCCATTGCTCTATTATATAATTTATGAATTTAACATTTATGTTCCATTATTGTGGACTTAGAGTTCTTATCTATTTTATTTTTATAAAATGTTTTATATAGTAGTATGCTTATACCCTCAAAGAATGGCTACCAGTCCTACCCATTATATGGCATATGAATACTAGATCAGTGATGACTTCCATCTGGCATTAAATAAGAAACATAGGTCTACACTGACACACATCACTTGATGTAGTCTTGTTTTTTGCACTTATAGTGTCTCACACATAAAGCCTGTTTCCACACATATATTGTTGTCCCTTAAGTCAGGAAAAGGAATAAGAATTTTTTTAGAAAATGTTGTTCACATCTGATTATTAATGAAAGTTATAACAGATTTATTTTGACATTTGCAGACTGATCAGGGAATCAAAAATCTTACTGTTGAAGAAGCAGAAAAGCTGGCTGCTAAAGATCCTGACTATGGTCTGCGTGATCTCTACAATGCTATTGCTAATGGAGATTATCCATCATGGAGTTTCTATATTCAGGTCATGACATTTGAACAAGCTGAGACATCGCCATTTAATCCTTTGGATGTAACTAAGGTAAGCATTGTACATTTTTCTCTTACATACTTCATATAGAGAAGAAATGTTGTCATATCTCTGTTCTACAAGTCTTTGATCTGAGAGAAGACTAGAATAAAATGTCTGTCTCATTTTCTAGGTTTGGCCTCACGGGGATTATCCTCTCATTCCTGTGGGAAAGATTGTCTTAAACAGGAATCCTGTCAACTATTTTGGTGAGGTGGAACAAATTGCTTTTGATCCAACCAACATGCCTCCAGGAATTGAACCTAGCCCTGATAAAATATTGCAGGTATAGGCTATTTAATATTTCTTCACCTCTGATGGAACGCTCTTCTTAAACTTTCTAAGCTGCAGTATAATGAGGAATGGTGGCATTTTACATTAGGATGAAAATATCTGTGAGACTTTATTTTCTAACCAACCTTTATTTTTGTATGTTATATTGTTCTTCCATTTCACTTTTATTGGTCAACATCCTCCACCAACTAATAATAATAATAATAATAATAATAATAATAATAATAATAATAATAATAATTTATTTATACTCCACCATGATCTCCCATAGGGACTTGGGGCGGCTTACAAAATAGCACATGAAGGTGCCATACAGCACATAAAATGCAATACATCAATATATAGAATCAATATCAAGAACACATTTACATAAAACCATACATATAAAATAGACAAAAGCAAACTCAACTTAAATAAAATATCAGTAAAATGTGGCTGTAGCCATTGATTAAAAGATCCATACTATCAATTTAGTGTTCCAACTATATACCAACCAAAATATAGAGTTAAAATGGTCAAATAATTGCCACTCAGTCTAGCTAGAAGTTATAAAAAGGCTTGATGGAAAACCATGTTTTTATCTCTTTCCGAAATTGTTGTAGTGTGGGGGCTTGCCCTAAGTTCCCTGGGGAAGGCGTTCCAAAACCAGGGGGCCACCACCGAGAAGGCCCACCAACCACACATCCCCACCAACCACACATGAAATAAAGGTGGAACCGAGAGGACGGCCTCCCCGCAGAACTTAGAGCCCGAACCAGTTTGTAGGGGGAGATGCGGTCACAAAGACAGGCAGCCCCACATAGTGTGCATTGCAGTAATCCATTCTAGATGTAACTAAGGCATGGACCACCATCGCCAAGTCAGGCTTTTTGAGGTACGGTCATATCTCAAACACAAGTTTTAACTGCGCAAAGGTCCTTCCCGCCACAGCCGACACCTGAGTTTCACACGTCAGCGTTGAGTCCAGGACGACCTCCAGACTGCAGACCAGTGTCCTCAGGGGGAATGTTACCTCTTTGAACACAGGATACAACAATATATAATGAATATAGAGTATATATTTGGGAAAGGTCATTTGGAGTTTTGTGGTGCTTTCTACATGCAGATGACACTTAGCTCTATTTATTTATTTATTATTTATTTATTACTGTGCTTATATACCGCCGTTTCTCAGCCTAAATCGGCGACTCAACGCAGTTTACAACACAACGACAAGCAGCAATATTCCATTAAAAAGCATAAAAACACATACACAATACACAATATTATTGGGCCACCAATAATAATCCAATGCATCTCTTAATTGTAGTCGCAATCCAATTTCGTCGTCTGTGATTAACCAATCCTTGTTCATCAGTTTCGTTGCACCAGATTAATCGAATGCTTGTTTAAACATCCATGTCTTCAACCTTTTTCGAAATACCATCAGCGAAGGGGCTGATCTCACCTCTATGGGGAGGGCATTCCAAAGCCGAGGGGCCACCACAGAAAAGGCCCTGTCTCTCGTTCCCCGCCAGCCGCACCTGTGAAGCAGGCGGGATAGAGAGCAGGGCCTCCCCAGAAGATCTTAGGGTCCTGGTGGGCTGATAGGCCGAGATACGTTCGGATAGATAAGTTGGGCCAGAACCGTTTAGGGCTTTAAAGGCCAGCGCCAGCACTTTGAATTGGGCCCGGTAGCAAATCAGCAGCCAGTGGAGCTGGTACAGCAGAGGAGTTGTATGCTCCCTGCGCCCCGCTCCGGTTAGTATCATGGCTGCCGCCCGTTGGACTAATTGGAGCTTCCGAGCCGTCTTCAAAGGCAACCCCACGTAGAGAGCGTTGCAGTAGTCAAGACGGGATGTAACCAGAGCGTGGACTACCGTGGCCAAGTCAGACTTCCCAAGGTACGGTCGCAGTTGGCGCACAAGTTTTAACTGTGCGAATGCTCCCCTGGTCACCGCCGAAACCTGGGGTTCCAGGCTCAGCGATGAGTCCAGGATCACACCCAAACTGCGAACCTGCGTCTTCAGGGGGAGTGCGACCCCGTCTAACACAGGCTGTAACCCTATACCCTTGCGACTAACCAGGAGTACCTCTGTCTTGTCTGGATTCAATTTCAATTTGTTCGCCCCCATCCAGACCGTCACAGCGGCCAAGCACCGGTTCAGGACCTCAACAGCCTCCTTAGTAGCAGGTGGAAAGGAGTGACAGAGTTGGACATCATCTGCGTACAGATGACATCGCATTCCAAAACTCCGGATGATCTCGCCCAGCGGCTTCATGTAGATGTTAAACAACATGGGAGACAGTATTGAACCCTGAGGAACCCCACAAGACAAAGGTTGTGGGGTTGAACAGGAGTATCCCAGTAACACCTTCTGAGACCGACCCTCGAGGAATGAGCGGAGCCACTGCAGAACAGTACCTCCAAGACCCATCCCCGCGAGGCGTCCCAGAAGGATACCGTGGTCGACGGTATCGAAGGCCGCTGAGAGGTCGAGCAGCACCAACAGGGACACACTCCCCCTGTCGAGCTCCCAACGCAGATCATCCACTAAGGCGACCAAGGCTGTCTCGGTACCATGCCCCGGCCTAAAGCCAGACTGTGCCGGGTCCAGATAATCTGTGTCTACCAAGAATGCCTGGAGTTGTGAGGCCACCACACGTTCCATGACTTTGCCCAAAAAGGGGAGATTGGAAACAGGCCGATAGTTGACGAATTGAGTGGGGTCCAGTGATGGTTTTTTCAACAGCGGTTTTATCACAGCTTGCTTTAAGCTGGCTGGAATTTTGCCTTCCCGAAGGGAGGCATTAACCACCACCTTCACCCACTCGGCCAATCCCCCTCTGGCCTCCTTCAGAAGCCAGGATGGGCAGGGGTCTAGGATGCATGTGGTAGCTCTCATTCCTCCAAGCACCTTGTCCACATCCTCGGGTTTCACCAATTGAAATGAATCCATCAAAATAGGACAAGCAGATGCTCGTGTTACATCCTCAGAGACTGCCGTTAATATGGTATCCAGTCCAGAGCGGATCAAAGCGACTTTGTCTGCGAAGAACTGAGCAAAAGCTTCACAGCGAGCTGCCGAGTCATCAGGGCACCCATCCTGAGTGGTGGGTTTTAACAGGCCTCTGACAACTCGGAACAGTTCAGCCGGACGGTTCTTTGCAGACGCAATAGTGGCCGCAAAGAAAGTCTTCTTAGCGGCTTTTATTGCCGCGGCATATGCCCTTAAAAAGGACACAAACCGTGTTCGATTTGGCTCGCTCGGATCTGAACGCCACACGCTCTCTCGTTCCCCCACACGCTCTCTAGTTCCTTTCATGTAATCATAGCCTTCCACTATGAGTGGAGGTCTGTCTCCATCCCAATCATTTATAGAGTTTCTCCCCATCAAGAATCCTGTGATGTGAACATAGACCTGTGAGTCTAGCTCTGTCCAGACTCTAGGCCAGAGGTCCTCAAACTAAGGCCTGGGAGCCAGATACGGCCCTCCAAGGTCCTTTACCTGGCCCTCACTCAGGGTCAATCTAAGTCTGAAATGACTTGAAAGCACACAACAACAATCCTCTGCATCTCATGGTCAAGAGCAGAGCCTGTTCAGCGCCCCCTTAGATAACCCTATATAACTACTTCCCGCTTAGATAACCCTATGTAAGTACACTTATGCTTTTGGCAACACTCTTCCAATTTATAAATTCGACAACTGATATTTGCCTCTGTTGTTGCTGTTGTGAACAAGTGATAAAGAATTCCCAATCTTTACTGAAGTTGCTAAAAGATGTATTTTTAATTGGCAGAGTCACTTTCCTATCTCTGATCGTTTGTGGATTTCAATCAGTCATTCTTGTGTGGGAGCTTTCCAAACTGTGTGCCATAACATACTAGTGTGTTGGCTATAGTCCACAGGCATGCCACATCAAAAATGGTTGTTCCCACCCCCTGCCTGCACTGGAAGAGACCCTCAAAGGGCATCCAGTCCAACCTCCTTCAGCCAGGAAGCAGGCACAGTCAAAGCCCTCCCAA